GTCATCGAACAACCCTTTCCCGTCTGGCTTCAGAACAAATTCTGCTATGATCACCTTCCCTTTATCCTTTGGCACCGATTTCTTGCAGTTCTTCAGTATCTTTATGCAATCTTCGTCGCTCCAATCGTGCAGTATCCACTGCATTATTATATTCATAAATCCAATCAGTTTGGAACCCAAAAGTATTCAGAACTCAGATTTATCCCGAAGAATCCATTCGCCCAACCAAGTACTTCATTCTTTGTTTATTGATGCACCCAAAAACATCAAAAATCAAATCAATATGCATGGACTTCGTAGATAAATTTTGAGATTAAAATTGGTAATTCAAGTATCAACCAGTTAGTTGTCGGGTACTCCTCCAGTCTTTAATATAAGACTCATTTAACTAATTTTATTAGATTAAGGAAGTTAGGTAAGTTAGTTAATTATAAGAAAAGTGACACATTTTTTCTAAAACACCATAATCATCTTTTTTAATACCCTCTCTCCCTCTTCTTATAGTTGAGGGAGTATCCATACGGGTAATTTAAAGAAAATTGATAAATATGAGAAATGGGTTTTATATTTAGGACCAAAACCAACTCAAGAATTGGGTCCCATATTAAGAACCAGAGGAGTAATATATACACACCTTCATGAAAACGGCATCTGCATTAGGCACGGAGAGGAACATGTCTCCTCCGACGTGGGTGACTCCGTCATGTTCAGGCGCGGTGGAAACCACATGAGGAAGATCGAAGTTGATGCACTTTATGTGGGGATACGCTTTCACTATCTCCGACACAGTCCCTCCGGTGCCACCCCCAACATCCACCAACGACGAAATGCTCTCGAACCCTTCCTTATACGCAGAGACGATCGCCTTCGTCACGATCCTCGCCGTGCACGCCATCCCTTCGTTGAACAGCTTGTTGAATTCTGGGCTCTCCGATGCCAAATCCCAAATCTCTCGGCCGTGAGCCTTCTTGAAGGCCTCGCCGCCTTCTCTCACGCAGTCGCTGAAGCAGTGCCAGGGAGCCATAAGGTCGGGGTGATTCTCCATGAGAAGCATGGGTGCCAGGTTAAGGTCGGAGTCACTTAGCAGCCACCGAGAAGAGTGGGTGAGGCCGTAGAGCGTGTCTCCTCCGTCGGAGGGGTGGTGGGCGGCGAAGATGTTGCGGCGGACGAGGAGCCTCATGATGCGGTAGAGGTAGGTGGGGTGGGGACAGGATGCGTCGGGAAGAGAGCGGTGATCTGGGACAAAGTGATCGGTCCACCGTGGCGGTGTATAATATCGGGTATGCGGAGCTGCACGGCAGATTTGAGGGCCATGGAATCGGCGAAGCCGAACATGTACTTCCAGATATCAGCTTGGCCTTGTAGCATCAAATCTTTCTCTTCCATTGCATTTTCTCCCATCTCTCTCTTGAAAATAGTAATTTACAACCTCTCCTCTTGAATCATGTAAATGATTTATAATATATACACGAATTTAGTAGGAATAGTTCAATGCATATCTCTTAATCTGACACTAAATAATTTTAATAGCATTTCATGCGCACGCGTATATATATTGACGACTAAGTTGGATGCATGTATTCACATTGATTAAGTTAATAAATATGATAAGTGAGGTGCATTATTATTTAATGAACAAAAGCATCTCTTGACGGTTAATGAACAAAAAATTAGTTTTATTTGTTAATCATAATGAATCATTAATCATTATTACATCCACGTGTTATCACGACAGCCTCCAAAGTCCAACCAAACAAACAAATGAAACCATCCACATCCAAATCATAATTAATTACGATATTCAGCCTGAATCACAAGACCGAACAAATTAAAGAAACCCAGAGTAACCAAAAACAAACACAGGCAACCTGACGACCGGCCTATTAAAACCGGAAAAAAGGGGGGGCCTCACAAGTAACAAAACGAACAAACTCGAAAATAATAGATGTAACAAATAATAATACTACCCCGATCTTATTTTATAAGATCTAGTTTATAAACTACAAATGAGATTTTATAATTAAAACCAGAGATAGTAATAATAAAAGATGAGGAGGAGGATCTTTTCTCTATCTTTCCTATCCTCTACCCTCTTTTCCTTCACCTACTGGATCAACATTTCAATGTGTTTGGCTCTTCTTTGCAATAATTATATTACTTCTGGTCCTTAATATAAAAACTCATTTGACTTTTATTTTGGTTTTAAATATAAGACTCTAATATACTTTCTTTCTCATTTTTATTTATTTTTTTCAAGTTAGTCTAATACATTTTATTAGCAAAGATTTTTTTAAGAAAGACAACACTTATTTATTACAAATAATTAATTTAATTAGTTTCTTTAATCTATTTAAATTAGTCAACTAGTTCTTATATTAAGAACAGAAAGAACTAATAATGTAGTATTTAATTTGAAATAAGCTAGACATCGATGATTAACATATAAATAGCCCCGTGTCAATGCCAACAAGTAGATTGACGTCAGTAATAGGGACTATTATGAAAGTGAATAAGGGTAAAGGGTGACTGCGTATGATCACTAAACGATCAAATGTGTTTGCTTCTTCTTTGCAATACATCTAATTTGTTTTTTGTTTTATGTGAAACTATGACGGATGCGCTGTTCTTTGTAGTAAAAATAAAATTCGCATAAGCAGGTTCAAATTTCAATCAAAAGAACCACACATTAGACAGAGATTGAAGTTTTATTAGGTCATAATAACATGGAGCGTTAATTAAAAAGCAGACAATAATAATCAACCACCACCACTCAACTTATCGCTATATATTTATTAGTCCCCCACACATTTTGCAAAATAATAAACCCATTCAACGAGCTAGTAAGCAAATATTGGAAATTGCACATTATACTTTCCAATTCTGCCCATAACATGCTATGCATTCAAAAAGGGGAAACCTCAATAATGGAAGGTATGGTGGGGATTTTGATGATTTTATAACGACCACAACCGGCTTCGTTCAATAAATTGCACCATTCAGCTTCACTTCTCTCCTTTCCCCCCGTTGTGTGCGCCATCATGAGCAGGTCATATGTCATCTTTGTGTTGCCAAACACGCCACAGTCATCTTCTTCCTCCAACACTATCTCCACTATTACGATCTTCCCCTTCTTCTCCGTCACCGCCTTTTTGCAGTTCTGAAGAATCTTCTTGCAGTGCTCATCGCTCCAATCATGCAGAACCCACTACTTTACCAGATAACATGCAACAATTTCTTAGACACGGTACAAAATGCCCTCTTGTGATGATATGAATCAATCAGAATTTGGGATATATCAATTAAATCACCTTAAGGAGAATGGCATCAGCTGCAGGAATGGACTGAAACATGTCACCGCCGACATGGGTGACTCCGGGGTGATCATCGGCTGCGGCGATGACATGTGGCAGATCGAAGTTGATTCCTTTGATGTGTGGGTATGACTTCACGATCTCCGCCATGGCGCCACCGGTCCCACCACCGACGTCCACCAATGTTTCTATGTTGCTGAACCCATCTCTGTACTCGCGTAGCAACGCTTCCGTGATGAACTTACTGGTGCATGCCAATGCATCGTTGAATATCTTGTTAAACGCTGCGTTTTTGGAGGCGAAGTCCCACATCTCGCAACCGTGAGCCTTCTCGAAGGCGATCCCACCTTCTCTGGCGCACGCGCTCAAATAATGCCACGGAGCAAGCTGCCATGGATGGTTTTCCATTATGACCATCGGGGCCAAGCTGAACTGAGAACCATGGAGGAGCCACTTTGACGCCTCTGTCAATCCGTAGAAAGTCTCACTGCCGTCGGATGGACGGAGGATGGTAAAGATCTTCTTGCGGACCAGTGATCTCATGATGCGGAAGAGGTAAGGGATATCTGGGGAGGTAGGAGATTCCTGCCAGCTGGGACAGGGTGATTGGGCGGCCATGAGAGTGTATGATGTCGGCTATGCGGAGCTCCACGGCAGATTTGAGAGCCATGGAGTCTACAAAGCCGAAGAGGCCGTCCCAGATAACTGCTTGGCTCTTTAGGGATTCCTGAGACAGCATCTGTGTGTGTTCCATTGAAGCAATATATGTGTGCAACTGTACGTGAAAGTGGGAATGACATCTTCATATAAACAAAGATGGTATCTTTATAGGAATGTAACAAATATCATGACAAATACCTTGCGGATCTCGGGGATTTGGCAGATAAAATTTAAAAGCCCTGCTTACCTATATATTCTTCTTTTTTTCAAGGATATCGTTTTTTATGTCTGTTTTGATATTGGTGGAGATCGCGCATCAGTTTATTTAACATGTCTATTGTCTTTATAAAAGATTGATACATAAATTAACAAGAGACATAAACGGGGAACCATTTTTAGTGTTCATCACAATAATGAGTATCATGATATTCATCAAATTTCAACCATTCAACTTTACTATGAATGGCCAGAATTTAATATTTAATATTTTTATTTTTTAAAAATATTTTTCTTTAATATATATATAATCCAAAATAAATGTAATATCTTAACTGTAAGTTTTTTTAAAAAATAATTTTTAATTTAAAAATTTAAATTCAGACCTCCGTCATTATTACATTTTTATTTAACTCTTTTATTTTTTATTTCTATTTATATACATGGGAGTGGTTGAAACAGTGGAAACTATTGCATGATTGAGGAATAAAAACTAATTTTATTCGTCGATAATTGAAAGACAGAATATATATGATGACTGGAGGAGTGGCATTACGTTTTTGTCCATTTCCTCGATACATATTAAAAGGTAGCACACTCATTCTGGGTAGAGTACTATAATTTCATTTTTATATTTTTAATAATTTAATAATTTAATGTTTACAGGATGTAAAATAAAAAATATCTCTTAACAGTCTATTTTTCAAAAATTGATTGTTTATATTTAAAATTTTTAAATAGGAACTATTGAAATGTATAAACCCACAACGCCAAGAGAGGAAAGAAGCAACGACAAGGAATCAAAAGGGGCCCTTAGTACGTAATGATCACGTAAGTGTATTATGACAAACTGATTATGGAATAGTCAAACTTGTACTGAATACTTCATCATCACTGGCCATAACTTTGTTTTTTGAAGAACAAGTAAAGAGAGAAGCATTAAATGCGTGGTTGAAACAGAGGTAGGTTGGAGGATGGGGAGCATTATCAGATAGGATAAGCCTCGATGATAGATAAGAAAGAGGGTGTGTTGATGATTTGATAGCGAGGGAAGCCAGCTTGATTTAGCAGATTCTTCCACTCCGACTCAGTCCTCTCTCTTCCACCGGAGGAATGAGCAATCATCAGCAAGTCGAAGAGCAATCCGATGTCATCGAACAGCCCATTGCCCTCTGGCTTCAGCACAAACTCTGCTATTATCACCTTCCCTTTATCCTCTGCCACCGCTTTCTTGCAGTTCTTCAGTATCTTTATACAGTCTTCGTCGCTCCAGTCATGCAGCAGCCACTGCACTTGCATTTCAATTATTCATCAACCACAGTATAATAAAAGTTCATATTATTGTTGGCCAATCATGGTTTTGCAAAGAAAGCTATATTACATCGATGTTTTGGACATAAATGACAGAGATTGGGTGGAAATTTTAAGTCAAAGCGGGGGGATGAACTGGCTTCTATATCATCTCCGCGTGGACGTAATGATTTTAATTTCTTTTAATCCATATATATATATATTTATATACATGCGCAAGGGGTAAGCCCAGCATTTTGTGCCTCCTGTACATGACATTTAAACGGTGCTTGGAGCTAGCTCAAAAGTATATTGTGTTTGGAATGAAAATGCGTATCTATCTTTAATTATGATTTGATTATTTGAGAATTTAAAAAGAAAAAAGTGCAAATGAAACAAGCAAAATATAATCATTTATAAATTTTTTTTAATACACTAAGATGACTAGAATTTACTTTTAGTAAAAAATTTTATTAATGAGTGTATATTCTACTCTCTGTTTAAAGTTTCTAATCATTGTTGTTCCCCCCCCCCCCACCTCTGTGTGTGCGTGTTTTCAATCCAGACATGCGCGCACTTTATTTCGACAGAGTTCTAGATATGCACTTTGTGTGCGCGGTTTTATTAAAGCTTTTTCCAGGAAGCTTAATTCCTTGCATTTATTTATGTTGTATATGAATGACAATTCATGTGCCCAATCAAAAAAAGAAAAAAAGAAAGAGTACAATGAGAATTTGGAGTGTCAGCTGTGTGTTTGCTGTTGCTCAATTTTTCTTACTTCTCTAATATTCCCCCCCCTTTTTTTATAATTAAATTCTACTTAAAATAAGTGAAATTTTGATATATTATAAAAAATGATGTACTTCTCAATTTTTTAATAACTTTTCAAAGAAAAAATACTCTAAAATTGATGCATCTTCTATTTGATTTAGACACAAATTCTTTCGAAGATCATTTTTTAAAAAATTAAAAAAAGAAAAAAGAAAAAAGCCAACTGTTACGTACCTTCATGAAAACGGCATCCGCAGGTGGGATGGAGTGGAACATGTCTCCTCCGACGTGGGTGACGCCGTCGTATTCAGGTGCGGTGGCCACCACATGAGGCAGATCAAAGTTAATACCTTTGATGTGGGGATACGTTTTCACAATTTCCGACACTGTTCCTCCGGTGCCACCTCCCACATCAACCAGCGATCCAATGCTCTCGAACCCTTCCTTATACGCCGATACGATCGCCATCATCGCCGTCCTACCCGTACACGCCATCCCAGCATTGAAAAGCTTGTTGAATTCTGGGTTCTCTGCCGCCATCTCCCAAATCTCTTGGCCGTGAGCCTTCTTGAACGCCACGCCTCCATCTCTCACGCAGTCGCTGAAGCAGTGCCAGGGAGCCATAAGGTCGGGGTGATTCTCCATGAGAAGCATGGGTGCCAGGTTAAGGTCGGAGTCGCTTAGCAGCCACCGAGAAGAGTGGGTGAGGCCGTAGAGGGTGTCTCCTCCGTCGGAGGGGTGGTGGGCTGTGAAGATGTTGCGGCGGACGAGGAGCCTCATGAGGCGGGCGAGGTATGCGGTGTCGGGAGAGGGAGCGTCGGAGAAGCAGGCGGTGATCTGAGACAAGGTGATTGGACCGCCGTGGCGGTGTATAATGTCGGGAATGCGGAGCTCCACGGCGGATTTGAGGGCCATGGAATCTGCGAAGCTGAACATGTACTTCCATATATCAGCTTGACCCTGTAATAACAAAGCCTCTGCCTCTCCCGTTGCACTCTCTCCCATCTCTATCTTTCTCTCTCTCTATCCGTGGATCGATTAGAACAAGAGATGCAGCCACCATCGTATAATATATATAGAGCTGGAGAAAGCTTCCGTCCAGAAAACTCTCTCGTAGCGGATAACTACAACAATATTGTGTCTGAGTAGACGTAGACTTCTGGAAAATATGATCTGAAATTTCCACAGAATTGATTTTAACTGTTGAAAAGATTTTCTCGTCCAAGAAAAACTTATTGGAAAATTACATATTACAGCTTGAATATGAAAATAACTTATACTCCTCCGGTCCTTAATATAGGACTTAATTGTTGAGTTGGTTTTGGTCCTAAATATAAGACCCATTTATCATATTTATCAATTTTCTCTAAATTACCCCTATGGATACTCCATCAACTATAATCAAGTAGAAGATGAAGAGGGGGTATTAAGAAAAATGATTATGGTATTTTAGGAAAAATGTGTCACATTTCTTATAATTAACTAACTTACCTAACTTCCTTAATCTAATCAAATTAGTTAAATAGGTCTTATATTAAGGACCGGAGGAGTATTAAATATATAAAATTTTGGATTAAAAAACATTAGTAAGTTTTTAAGATCGTGGCTTTTAATTATTTTTTGTATTTTATAAACATTTTATAAGAATTTATTTGAAAAAAATACCATAGAACTTCGTATTAATTTTAATTTTTGTGGGCAATCTTCCTTATTTTTGTAAGTTAAATGCTTTCAATATTTGAAGCTTTAAACTTTTTTTTAAAAAAATTTTTAAGTTTGACGTGGATATTTTAAAGCCTGAAGTGAATTAATCAGAATACCAAGTCTCCCTCACCAACAAAATAATCAGAGGAAAAAAAGTGACGTGATGCTCACATGTGACATCGAAATCAGTTGGCACGCATGCCAATTTGAATGGTTCGCCTTAAGCCACTTTTAAAATTAGATCTATCCGCTCAGTGGTGTTATATTAACTTTATATATAATCGCATGCTATTCATTCCAATTGATTATTTGCTTACAATCCAACATAAGAAATTTGGTATTTTTTAAAAAAAATTTCACACAAATGTGTTTTATTTTAAAATGAATTAATATCTTAATTGCTTGAAAGTTCAGTTTGCAAATAAAAAACCGTTAAAGTCAAAGTCAATTGCAAACATGAATTATCCTCCCACCTCAACAATATTTTAAAAAGCGAAAAAACAAACAGGTCATAATTCAAATAGTCAGATTAGTTGGACCGTTCGATTAGGCTGATAACATGATAATTAAATAAAGATAATATTATATATATAACTAATATGTAGAAAATAATTTGTAATAAGTATTATTATTAATAATATAATAATATCTCAATAAAAAATTGTAAATAAAACTGACGATATGCCAAAGAATTATAAACTTTTATTACTTTTTTCTTCATTTTGTTATAATAATAAGTTGATATCCTTTATTTTCATTTGCAAAAAGTGTAAATATTTGAATAAATTAATTTATAAATTTACGGTGTGATCTATTGGTCCATTGAAAAATAAAAATGGGTAAAATGAAAAAAGGTGTTTTATTTTCGTCTGCTTTATTCTTCATTTCTTTTCGACTTCCCAGATGCTTTAATGCTTTTTGACTTTTTTGTGTATACGGGGCCATGGCTTGCATCTTTTCAGGGTGTTTATTTCTTCGTTTCGTGACACCTAAAAACCAGAGGAAATCGTAAAAAAGATTCTAAAATTTGAAAAATACAGAAAAAAAACCCGTGATAACTTGATTATGGTTTTTGATAATAATAATATGTGTAAATTACTAAAAATGATATAAATTAATATGATAATTACATAAAAAATAGATTTTATAATATATTTTAATTTAAAGGAATAAAATTGTTAATAATATATTTTTTTTATCAACATAATTAATAATATATAAGATAATATAATTAATAAATAATTAATATGTGTATATATTTATAAAATATGAGATTAAATATGTTTATAGAAAAATAATTGAGGGGTGTTAAAGTCCTATTATCGTAGGGATCTATTCTGACAGGCACAATCATACTCTCCAATTTGAACCACAAACAGAATAAATTTATTTTTTCTGAAATTATGGTTTTGAGCCCAAAACGGTGGTTTGATGATTTTCCCTCCTGTTTGGCAAATTTTTGACCTAAACCATAGTTTGGGTCCCAAAACCATGATTTTGGCCATTTGCCAAACAGACCCTAAGACTGAGTAAATTTAAGTTAGTTATTTGTCATAAACTAAATTCTATATACTTTCTTACATTTTTCTCTTCTCTTAGCTCTCTTTATCTTCTTCTTTACCTTCTTATCTTCTCATGACGTAGCATTCTTCCTTCACAAATTTGAGCCAGATGGTGTTTGAAAAACAGCACCGAGTTCTGGTTTAACTTTAGCTCTCGGCTAAATGGCTGGCTTGAAGAGGTCCAAAACAGCCTAACTGGTCAAGCGGTCAAACCATAAAAAATGAGCTGGATAACTCTCCGGTCACCTGCCGAACCGGTGTGGTTTTTAAATCACTAGGTGTTGATAAAAATAGGTGACATTACTTTACACACACATACATAGGCACGTATATCATGGAAAATCCTTTGGCAGTTATATATAGCACGTAATGCTCACGCAAATCTTGCATTATATCGTGTCATCTATTTTTGATAACTAATAATCATCTAATAACAGGGTTAAATTAAACAAACAGGTAAGATTAAAAGAATAGTGTTTTTTGAAATATTATGCATGAGATTTCATATATATATATATATATATCAAGGATCAAATTCAGGGGGACTTTCTTCTGTTTTTGGTAGTAACTACCTTTTTTATATTACCTCTGATCCTTAATATAAAACCCTATTTGACTTTTATTTTGGTCCTAAATATAAGACCCCAATCCACTTTGTCTCTTATATTTATGTATTTTTTTTCAAGATAGTCATTCTTTTCTTAAGGATAATTGTAGTCCTAGCCAATATAGTTTATTAGTAAGGATATTTTAGAAAAGTCAATACCTATTTATTACAAAGAACTGACTTAACTTCTTTTTTTAATCTTCTCAAGTTAGTCAACTGAATTTTATAATTAGGAGCGGAGGTAGTATAATCTAAAAAGAAGAATACCTTTAATTGTGAACTTACTCCTTTTCATTTTGATTTTCCCCCCATTGTGTTGTTTTCTTCAATATGAACTCACAGGTGATTGGTTCGTGATGCTGCCCATAGTCCACTCGTCTCTGGTTTTAATTTCCGGGTGACCGTACAATGTAAAATGAAGAAAGTGATGGATGCTTGATATTGACTTTATGTCCACAGTGAAAGGCAAATTAAGATAACAATTGGTAGAATGCAAGAGCAGTACATAATTCGGGGAATCTGTAATAATTGATGTCATCATGCCGATTCCAGAAGCTAATAATGGAAGGGTTCGGTAATGAAGTGACTTTTGCACTCGTCTTTTTATCAATCAAGTGGCATGGTGACATTCTTGAGCTGATGATCACAGTTGTCAAACTAGTTGAATTTAGGGAATTGCTAAGGTCGGAAATTGTAAATCTAATAATAAAATGACATAATTAATGCGTATCCGATGACATATATAAATTAGGCGCGTGTTATAAATGTCTAATTTCGTAGAGTTTTAATTACATATACGGGCTTTTGCAATGAAAGATTGTTTGGTATATTTGACCAGTCAACAAAAAATAAATAATATAAATAGACATGTAAAAATGTTAAATATGAGTTTTTGCTGAAAATTGTATTAACGTGACAGATCAACTTCAGTATAATGAACCAAAAGTCAAAGCTATACGCGGCTCTATGCCTGCGACATATAGGTGAAATAAAAAAAATTAAAATAAAAGTAGTACACAATTAAATGATTTTTTCATAAAAAAGTTATATTACTATTTATAAACAATATTAGGAATATAATTTAAAGAAGATTAATCCTCTATATGTAGGAATCTTTCTTTAACCCTCCCAGAAATCCAGCAAGTACTTTGCGCCAAATAAAAATAATCTTTTTGCCATCTCTTTAGTTAAAAAGTTGATTACTTACCATCAAAGCTGTCATAATTTCAGAACGTTGCTTTAATTCTTAACATCTTTAATTTTTTTCCCCTTTTGTTTTTTTGTGGTGAATGTGCAGAAAATACAGAGAAATTAAGAGAGATTACATAAAAATTCACGTAGGAAGAATCAATGGCTAGCCAGTAATATAGTAGAACATCAAATGATGCTGTTTCATCTTCATCACAAGTGCAGAACCCACTATTAATACCATTTTATAAGTACTTAAAAAGGACTGAAAATTGAAAATCCAATAATGTTTTATGGCTGCTATAACTTGATAAAATTATCTCCTGGCTGTCGGGGGAAAAAAGGTAATATGAAAATTATCAGGAAAGTTGAAGTGCTTCTTTCGAGTCTCAGTCTCACCTAGAGAGAATTATAGGTAAATGGGGTGGACCTGACAATAACCACCTCGAGAAGGATCGGTGACATTTTGCAGGCAGTCTAGGCACCTTCTCTTGATATCTATAGTTAGCTGGGCTGGGCCCACTATATCTATAGGCCCAGTGCATGAAACACAACCCAAGATTGATCTCTCTTTTGTAGCTAGAAAATATCTGTTTGATCAGCCACACTAATGTTACATTTATGGTCCATATTGCACGCCCATATATGCTCAGTCTCAAAGTTTTATAAACGTAATTGGTCGTTATACATAAACATTAAATACTAAAGTTTCACACAGGAAGCAACAAGGGGGAAATGATGCATAATAGTGATGGTATAATATAGGACAAACAAGAGTGAAACTTGGAATGGCCTGGTAAATGGATCTCAGAACGGGGAAGCCTCAATGATGGATAAGAAAGAGGGTGTTTGGATGATTCGATAACGAGGGAAGCCAGCTCGGTGCAGTAGATCCTTCCACTCCAATTCGGTCCTCTCTTTTCCACCTGAAGAATGAGCAATCATCAACAAATCGATGACCAGCCCTGTCTCGTCGAACAAGTCCCTTCCTTCTGGTTTCAGAACAAACTCTGCAATTATCACCTTCCCTCTCACTTCTTCTATTGCCTTCTTGCAGTTCTTCAGTATCTTTATGCAATCTTCGTCGCTCCAATCGTGCAGTATCCACTGCATTATATTCGTAAATCCAATCAGTTTGGAACGTATGATCTGTGTTAACTTATGGGGATGATAGTGACATGCTTCCTATCCTAACTTCCAAGGGGGCATAATTCTCCCGCCAATTTTATTCAGTGAACCAGATTCCTCTTTCACTACCTAATTCTATTGACTCTATCATATCCCTGATTTCTCTCTCCCGTGTGATATGTTAGTTTGCTTCTTTAACGCCAATGAAATTTTAAAATGAATAAATTATATTTTTCGTCAACATCTTTCCCCTAATTTTACATGTTATCTGTTGACTGCTACATCACTAAGGACTCAGAATGCCGACCGAAAAAGAAACAGACAAGAAGAACAGGTTGATGTGTTGCATCACAGCGTGCACAAAGGCTAACAATAAACAAATGGATTTCGTTAAAATATTGATGTAGGCTTTAGCATCATTGATATATCGATATCAGAGACTAATATATAATCCTCAGTGAAGAATTCAGATGTATGATCGATTTCTTGTGCGTGTGTGGTTTTCATTAGTTGACTCATACAGTTTATGAGAAATTAACATTTTATAATGACCTAATATATCAGAAATAAATAACCTAGCCTGTGGATGGATATGCGGGCACAGATTCATAATTTTTTTTAAGATTAAAATTAATATGTAATTCAGATATGTATCAAATTGTTGGCTCTAATTACCTTCATGAAGACAGCATCGGCAGGAGGGATGGAGTGGAACATGTCTCCTCCGACATGGGTGACTCCGTCGTGTTCAGGTGCGGTGGCGATCACATGAGGCAGATCGAAGTTGATGCACTTTATGTGCGGATACGCTTTCACTATCTCCGACGCCGTCCCTCCGATGTTCCCTCCCACATCCACCAAAGATCCGATGCTCTCGAACCCTTCCTTGTACGCCGATACGACCGCCCTCATCGCCATCCTCGCCGTACACGCCATCCCATCATTGAACAGCTTGTTGAACTCTGGGCTCTCCGATGCTAACTCCCAGATCTCCCGGCCATGGGCCTTCTTGAACGCCGGGCCACCTTCTCTGACGCAATGACTCAGGTAGTGCCAGGGAGCCACAAGGGCGGGATGGTTCTGCATGAGAAGCGCGGGAGCGAGGTTCAAGTCAGAGTCACTCAGGAGCCACCGAGAAGAGTGGGTGAGGCCATAGAGGGTGTCTCCGCTGTCGGAGGGGTGGTGGGCAGTGAAGATGTTGCGGCGGACGAGGAGCCTCATGACTCGGGCGAGGGAGGTAGGGTCGGGAGAAGGAGCGTCGGCGAGAGAGGCGGTGATCTGGGACAGGGAGATAGGTCCGCCGTGACGGTGTATAATGTCGGGAATGCGGAGTTCCACGGCGCATTTGAGGGCCATGGAATCTACAAAACTGAACATGCAGCTCCAAACAAGAGCTTGACCTTGTAATGCCAGGGCCTCCTCTCCATTAGCATATTCTCCCATCTCTCTCTCTCTCTCTCTCTCTCTCTCTCTCTCTCTCTGTGATTGATAGTGCTGGTATGAATCAGAGAGGCAGCCGCCTCCTTATAAAGCTTACACCTACTGAGAAATTAAACTCCCGAGTGACATTCAAACAAGTTTAGTTAATTTCAAAGATATCTTCTCTCGTCATCTAATATATATATAATAGTGCCAGGGATTGCTTTGCACCACCCCAAATTAACACCATTGGGATGTGAGCCCAGTGGCGCCTTATTTATGATGTTCCTTTGTCGTAGTATTAATTTCAAACGTTAAACTGCAAATCTACCCTTTAAACATCTTTTCTACGCATATCTAACATTATAAAGTTTTCATGAATAGTACAATTATTTTCGTTAACGTAGGTCAGTGTGGTGTTTCTAGATAAACTTAACGGTCAACCGCTAGATTTAACGATTTTGACATTTTTCATCCATTTCAAAACATTCATGCGCATCTTAACTCTAATTTTAATTACTTTTCCGGTCCTAGATATATCTCTTTTGTAGTCTAATTTATATTATAAAAAAATCTTATATTTAAGACCAGAAGAATACTTACTTAAGCCTTTTTTTAAAGAATGTTTGGATAGAAACCAAACTATAGTTTTAAAAGTGCTTTTACGGTTTATGAAGTAAATATGTAGAGGAGTTTACCTCGTTTTACGAAAAAATACTTATTAGAAGTTAGAAACACTTTTGGACATTCCCAAACACCCCGTTAGTACATGTTTATCTTAACTTTACATAACCACACATTGGCTAGTGCGTGGCTAGGCCCCACCCACAAGTGGGGTTTGGTTCTCTTGAGAATATTCGTACAGTGTGTGTTAATAGCCCACGCTTAAGTACCACTCAAGCATGTTAGGTTTTTTCCCCATTTCGTATTTGCTTGAATAAAACATCAAACACGTGTCATTAATTTACTATAATTTTTTAAATTTGGCATAAATGTTTAAGATTATAAAATGGTTTAATATTTTAATCCCTTACAAATTAACGATGTCACAGTGCGATATAAAAATGATAATGTCAAAGTCATTCACCGAAAAAGACACAAGGAAAAAGAAAAGCACCTATCCTTTAAGCTAGCTCGGCTGTTGATAAATATAGTTTATGTAACTTAATACACCAAATATACCTAACATAATTAACAATAATTTAAATCTATGGTGATTCCCCACTTATTATCTAAAAGTGATGGATGAGGATAAGATGAGTTAGTAAAATCTAACCTTAACTTAGCTTGAAAATATTAAAATCTAAACCGTTAAAATGTGTTAATCTTATAATTAAAAAAAAAGATAATGGAAGAAGATGGGAAGCGAAGAGAAGAAATCCCCTTCTCGCTTCATTGATGCATTGAGTAAGAAATTTTTTTTGTTAATATACATAATTATTATAAAATCGATAATACAACATTGACTATCTGATCCATGAAGGCCTAGTCATCCATGGAACATAGCATTGAAAATGGGGGAGTAATTGCCAATTACAACGTATCAAAATTTGACTTGTCTTATGACATTTTTAGGGTGAGGCGAGCACGTAATGCCCAGATTCATGATGCATATCATACCATATGATATATAGTACTCCTCCGGTCCTAATTATAAGACCCAATTGACTTATTTGAGGAGATTAAGGAAGCAAGTTAAGTTGGTTATTTATAATAAATAAGTGTTGTTATTCCTAAAATATCCTTGCTAATTAAGTATATTAGCTAAAACTATCATTATTAGAAGGATTATCTTGGAAAAAAATGCATAAATATAAGAGACAAAATGGATTGGGTCTTATAATTAGGACCAAATAAAAAGTCAAATTGGGTCTTATAATAAGGACCGGAGGAGTAATATATTTTTAGTTGTTAATCATTTATTTACCATGTTTAATATAAAGATAACTAAGAATGAGATTGAAAGAATACTTTATTCAAGCTTTTTATTTAAAGACTTTAAGCAAACTCAGGGATTTGAGCCAGCGAGATTATGAAATGTTTGTCTCGTAGCTGTATTATTATACCTTGTGTTAAAATATATTAGTGGGGACCATATAGTTATATTGATAAATAAAAACAAAATAAAAGGAAAAAACTAGTAATAGTCTGTGGTTCATGCAAGATTTCACAAGCAAGTGACCGAAGAATGAAGAAATTATGAGATTACGACTATTGAATTGTCAACAACTAAAGGCAGGGAAATAATTAGATCAATACAGTTGTCGTGGGTTTCTTAATTCCCATCCATTTGTGTCTAGTAACTCTGTATGTCAAACCAGTTTAAAACAATGGGTAAAGGTGAAAGATATAGAAAAGTAGAGCTCTTTGCGTAATTGACGTGACTTCGACTAATGTTAACAAATATATATTCCCTTGATATTAGATATTTTTAGTGTATTTAATATTTTAAAATATATTTTTTCAGTAACACCTAACATCTAGTAAATTGGATTTGCAGTATTTTTCAGTGGCACGCGGTATTTTAAACTAATTTTAAGACATTGTGTGTCATTACTATAAAAATAATAATGGATACTGGATGCATTAAAAATTAATTTAGGATACTGGGTGGTACTAAAAAATAGTTTAAAATGCAAAATAGTTTAAAATGCAGCTTGTTAGATATTGGGTATGACTGGAAAATATTTTTAGGTGTCAGATGCACCAAGAATTATTTTAGAACACTCAATGTTACTAAAAAAAATGCTTCACAACAATGTTGGATCAGCCTCCATTTTTACACCCAAAATTTAACTATAATGTGAATAGTACAGTTGACTTTCATATTTTCTGTACAACATAACGGATCCATATTAATTTCCAAAAGATAATAGAAACCCCTCCCCTATGCAACGCGTATCTCAATTTGACAGATTAGCCCCATCATCATTAGCTCATTTACCAAATATAAGCTGTGCATGAAAGGAACTTCAAACAGATAATGACAGATACAATTCGTTTTCCCCGCAGTTCAGTTCAGTGTACATATTATTATCTGGCTGTCTACAATACTTACAATATTCTCCCATTTCCAAGTCTTGAACATGTTGCCTCAAGGCAGGAACAGAGGGGGAAGAGTAGAGCTATTGCCAATGGTACAAGAGATTGTAAGAGGGAAGATCATTCATTCTGTGCAGGTCTTCCAAGCATAACTCTTTCTCCAATTGCATCCTTGTCGCTTGTAAAACATCCTGAACCCATTGAGTAAAATGCCTTGAATTCCAAATCAAAAAATTGAAAAGTCCCACATACCAGAGTCTCTTTCTGCTTCACATCACTCATTAAATAGACTTAATTTCAAAGTGGACTTAGTATTAAAGTTTTCTTTTTCACAATTTCAAAGGTTTGCTTCAATATGTTTTTTCAGTTGTTTTTTCGCAACAGATATGCGGGAAACAGAGAAAGAGATGTTAGTATTACATTGAAGTTCATGTAGGAGGCATGCATAGCCAGCCATTGAGCATCCATCATCTCAAAAGCTATACAGTATAGAACATCGAATGCTTCTTCATCTTCTGCAATACCAAGTATTGATATAATGGTTGGTCCAATATAAAGAGGCATTCCACAATAACTGTGACAAGCATCACCATTACCTTCTAATAATTTGACAAAATTAATTCCTGGAAGACAACGAGGTTTCACTGCAAGGAAAAAAGGTAGATTAACTCCTAATAACTGTCAAGATCTAAGTTGCTAATAATGGAAAATTTCATGTGTCAAAATTTGTCACAAACCAGAGCATAAATCCAGCATCTGTATCAGCATAAATGATACATTAATTCCAGCAACAGCAAAGGGGTACTCCCATGTTGCTCTATGTCCATCCTGCTTGAACAACAACCTATGAAAAGATGCCTTCGTTTTGAAGTCACAAAATTAGTACAGACTCTTCTTCTTGACAGCAGTAGATATCAAAAAACTAAGATGCAATAAGAAAAGCACAAAGCAGAAGATCTAGGAATGCATACCGGGTATGTCCTTGCAAAAAACAGCAGGTTTTCAAGTGAAATAAAGCCACATCCCCTGAGGTATGCAAGTTATGAGACAGAATACCTTTGAATAACAAAATATTGAGGTAATGAACATGTGCTTTCAAATCATTGTAATCGGACATTATCAAGATCTCAATATTAATGCATTTGGAGCCCAGAAAAGATATGAAATCAGACTAAATATCAATGCTTCTAACACTTGGTCATATCGTTATGTGCTCATTTGTACATATAAAAAGGATCCCAGCCACTTTATTCAGATGATATAATCTTATTAACATTAATGGATAAACCATTTTCTCAGGGTAAAAACTGGTTTACTCCATTTCAGTATTCATAAGGAATACCTAAAGTCAGTTGATGGATTAGGACCTTGCCATCCCATATCTTTCCATTGGTCAGATATCAATCCCTTCAGAGCAACATCAGGAAAGGCGCACTGCCACAATGCTCTCAGAGCTTCCTGTTGAAAGTTAATGATGGTTAATCATAGCTCAAAAGTTTCAACTTACAGTTTAATAAAATGAAAGAAATCATTAGACATTTTATAAGTTGAAGTGTAATCGTGTCTGCCAAGGATTTTATAAAAAGAAAGTTGGCATTGCGTAAAATGCAAGTACTTGATGATCAAGGCGAGTCTCATCAAAAGGCACTTGCAGCCGTTCTTGAAGCTTTTGAAGCCTTTGTTCCTAGCAACAAAACTAAAACATTGTCAGTTCAATGATTTTGTTATGACAAAAAAAGTCATACTAGGAACACAATTGTAAATCTAGCTTCTAACTAAGCTTTAAAATAAGCTGCTCCAATCATGTAATGTGTCATGAATTATCCATTGCCAGACACGTGTGAAAATTAATATCATGATTCACGACAAAAATTACTGTTTTGTATACATTCATAATATTTTCATGATCCGATCCTACAATTAGATACAATGTGAAAATAGAAACCGACAACTTTATCTTTGCTTTTTCACCTGAAGAGGAGTCAAAGGATAGTCAACAAACTTGTGATGACGTTTAGTGCTTGAGCGATGAAAGAATCCTCCTATCCATGATCGCGATCCAACCATAGCGTTAGCTACTTCCAGCAACATGTGGATCAGTAATAAAAGAAAAGAAGAATCTATGATAAGGATTGGGACTGTTAACATTTAGTTTTTTGAGTTTGTCGGCAGTTGTTAGGAGATTTTGACAGAGTAAGGGTCACTTTGAAACCAAATTGTTCTGTGCTCTGTATGTAAAAAAACAGAGGATAGAAGAAGTGGCCTAGAAAACTGTGTTAAGGATGTAGGAATAACTGAATTTTTCATGGATCAAAGGGTAATATACTGAAGCAGCAATTAATAAACTCTCATGATGACTGGCATGTAATATCGATTGGGTCAACTTTTAATGAATTGATAAGAGAAATGGAATGTAGAAAGATAGTAGCAATAGATCAAGGGATAAATCTACTTACTAAGACATTGGGCCAAATGAGATATTAGGTGAGTAGAATTGTGCGGCCATTCCAATTCTTCATCTTCCTTTCTTTGTCTCCAATAAGGCTCATCCTCATCAACCTGCATTTAAATTTTCAGAGCATCTATGGTAAAGTGCATTGAAATAACCAGAATATGAACAGTCCATGAATCTGCCAAAAGCTCGAATCTATTGAGAAATTTCATGCAATTAGTTGAAACCTTCTCACTGTGCTTAAAAATGCCTTGTCGAGAATGCAATTTTTTTTTTGGGGGCGAGGGGTTTTCAATTTTTGCATTGGCAAGAAGAAATGTAATATCTTTCCTTTACAGTAAGGAGAGAAAATAGTCAGAAAAAGGAGTACTAAATTTCTGTTTCGAAGGATGTAAAAGGAAAAATATTTCGTTGATGGGCACAAAACGCATTGCACATCAGTAAAACAGGCACATTCTGAAGAAAAACAGCCTCTTCACTAATCTTCTAAACTATCAGAGTTTCTATAAAAGAAAATGGGATTTACTTTGTGAAGAGAGGAGCAAGAAGGAAAACATCGTTTGCGCTTCCTCAATCTCATGAGGGAAACAAAATCGAGCAGAAGAATGGCTTATTTTCTTTTATAAACCAAAAACAAAAGTTGGAAAAAAGACAAAAACCTTTTGAAGAAATGGGAGACATATGATTGCACACCCAACCAACCCATGCTCTCCCTCCTATAATTCAACCTCCCATCATTCCGAGCTATTATTTTGTTTGTACGCTGATTTTCTCTGTACCCATAACTAGAGAGAGAGAGAGAGATGAAATTGGTAACATAACATTGAAGGGCATCCTAGAACAAGAAGTGATGAAGGGTGAATAAATAAAGGCTAAAAAAATTAAGAACGTAATTAAAGGTCACATTTTGCTGTAAAGAAGGGTATGAAAAGTGGAGAAGGTGGGGTGGGTGTCGCTGCTCTGCCTAACATTGCTATCTTCTTTTCAAGACGGCACCTTTACATACAAGACAAAAGTTATCTCCCACCTCCTAGCGAACATGTAGATACAATAATGAGCTAGCAAAGGGAGGAAATTAAAAAGAAAGAAATGAATGGAACTAATTAGCTATGGTGTCTTCTTCCTCTTCTTCCCGAAGTCAGAATTGGATATGGTATCCGACGAGACATGTCTCTGGCATTGTGTAGGTGCTGGATCGAGGTCTGAAAAAGACCCCACAGGAAGGCAGTGGTGGAACCAGAAAGAGGACAGAGCAATAAGGAAGAGAAAATTATTAAAGATAATTACAAGTGTTATGTAATATTGCATTAGACCAGCACAACGCTGCAGATTTCTTAGAGAAGAAGGCCCTTTTTGCTCATAATGGCTCTCATGTTGTTTCTCAAGCGCCTTCTGAGCTAGCTGATATTCTTAGAAAGGATTGTCTCAGTTGTAATAGGCATAGTGCAGCCCTGTAATTTGTTTATATATGTTTGTGTGTGCCATAGTTGTTTGTCATTGTAGCTGAACTGTGGAGAGCAAATAGATGGCGCAGTGAAGAGATGGACTTCGATTCAGACTCTCTAAGTCTTATCGATATGATTTGACACAATCAATTATCAAACTAATTAATAATGACTCCAAGAACTATGCAATTGAATGTTGCGTGATAAGAGGGCATCATGCAAATAATGCTCATCCGAAAGAGGCTTTTGATCCAATTGATTATAACATAAATGAGTTGCCTTTGATGCTAATTAGGATTATGAATTTTTGCTGAGTCATGTAATGGCACATAGCTTTAACGCATGGCCAAGTGGATAATCCACTTTCAAAGGATAAACTGGCCAATTGATCACTTGCGAGGACGGCGAAAAAGGTAGTCAGATTTTTCTGTGAAAGAGGTAATAAATAGTAAAAGATTTGGGGTCCCGGCCCCTCTCATTAAAGGAGATGGAAAGGAAAATTTAGGTATCAGCAAAGTCAACTTAATAGTTAATATTAGTAAATTTGGTTGTCTGTATCGGGCAAATGGGGTTTTGCAGGATCCTGTGTGGGCAGATGCAGATAGATTACATAGACACCTCTGCTTTTATTTTATTTTTAAAGCTCTGGGCCCTCAATCCCTCTGAGTCCCTCAGGCACGGTACATACCAAATATGCCGCCCAGGTGCAGATTCCTTGTTGAGTACGGCATATCCAATAATGTGGATATAAAATATAATTTTTCTTTTTCCTTTTTGGTCTGCCATCTGCGTTTTCAAGTTGTTTTACATTATCATATAATGAACACATATAATTTTTATATGTTAATTTCCAAACCATAGATGTTATAAATTTGTTTATTAATAAATATAATAGAAAATTACCGTTTTTGGATTATTTGATTATTATGATCTTATGTATGATATGTATCATATTTTTATCAAAAAATTGGAAGCGTAAAACGTAATAATGACACAAATATAATAACAGTGTGATAAATTAGATGTTTTGATGTATGCCTTCATTCTTTCCTTCCCCTTCTAGTAGGGGTGTTCACGGGACGGATCGGGACCGGGACAGGCCCGTCCCGGTTCCGTCCTGATGAACAGTAACGGGACAGATTTTCTGTCCCGTGTCCCGGCCCGTCCCGGGGTTGTCCCGGTCCCGGTCGGGACGGGACGGATCCGGGACGGGACCGGGACGTCCCGAAATAATTTTTTTTATTTTTTTATTTTTTTTAAAAAAATCTAATTTTTTTAATTATATTTTTTTGAGCTTAAATCTTATAAAAACATCTTTTTTATTTGTTTGGGCACTCTTAAACAAAAGCTCAAAATATTACATATAATAGTTATTAAAAACTCTAAACAAAAGCTTTTAACACAATAAAAACTTGCTAAAAATTCTAATCATCAATAATCTCAAATCATTAACAAATATAAAAACTCTAAATAAATATATCCATAGTTTCATACAATAGTCTCAAATCTTAAAAAATATGAAAAAAATGATATTATATAAAAAATTAAAAAAATTAATTTTTTTTTTTAAAAAAGGAACCGGGACGGGACGGGGACGGGACGACCCCGTCCCGTGTCCCGTCCCGTCCCGGTCCCTTTTTTGTCCCGTCCCGGTTTGTCTCGTCCCGAAAAATTTCGGGACGGATCCGTCCCGTCCCAATAAGACCGGGACCGGAACGGGCCGACCGGGACGGGCCGGCCTTGAACACCCCTACCTTCTAGAACATTCTTCCAGTCTTACATATAAGACTCATTTTATAGTATAAATTACACTGCAAAGTAAGTCTTATATTCACTGCAAACTAACCTTAAATGTTGTCATGTTTAATAAAAAAATTAAACGATGGTTTTTGCCCCAAAAAACATAGAAAGGAAGCAGGGATGGAAGAAAAACTGAATCATTCAAGTATCTCAGTATCTCTTCCCTGTAGTTGATTAACACTAAGAACTCAGTATCAAACAAAATGGGGGCATCACAAGTTGCGTGGATACAAAATATGTTTCTGAACAAGAACACGTTGACATATATAGATATATCCTTACTAAGGACAAAGTTCATATATATGGACTTGTATAACTCTAGGGGACAGGGTAGGACTTGTCATGACACATGCACTTGTAAGCCATGGGACAGGTCTCAGCCTCTTGAAGGGAGGCACAAACGAAGCTGACCATAACGAGTCTGCAGGGCGAACAGGAACCGCACGCATGAGAACAATCCGGCAACCTCGACCCTGCTACCTCTTCCACTGTCTCTCCTCTCAACCTCTTCATCATCTTTGTGTCTGATAATAATCCTCTCCCTGCTTGTTCTTCGTCTTCTGTAATGAATAAAAACCGCCGCACATAATCAACATAACCCCACCTAACTCATTCTACATATACAGGAGATGAATTCAAATGGAATACTTACGACGAGAATACTCCGAACTGGGGATGTGCCTTGCAGAGATGAGTAATGGAACATAGAGAAGAAGAAGAAAAACTGTAGCGATCTTCATTATATATTTGGAGCTCTCTTACGATCCGTTTACTGAAACACTACTGGTGGGTGTTTTTGTTGAGACTTTGATTAAGCACAGTAGATAAGCTGAGACGATGTATTTATAGGAGCGGAAAAGGGAGTGATGGTTCTTCGTTCACAGGCAAAGTGAGGAGGTCACATGAAAGAGGGTTTGGTCATCTATGTCTAGACCAAGTCACAGGAGTGAAGGTGGTTTTGTGCCGTGGAAGAAGCTAAGAATTAAAAGAGAAAAGTGTTGAGAGTGCTTCTTTTTCGTGAGTACTCACCCAGCTTGGTTATGGAGCATGGAATGCATAAATGCAGAGAGGGCTTGCTCTTTGTTTTCCTGCTCATAAATAGCTTCCGATGTTCTGACGTGACCGCCATTAATAAACGCTTTTCTTTCTTTTTTTTCTTCCTGCGGTGCGTGCTTTGTTTGGATAACTAAAATGATGGCGCATGTTAACTAAAATTATCAAGTACTTGATGCTTTTCCTGGCTCCAAATGTGAAACTTTACTGTTCTATAATTATAAGTGATAACCTGGTGTTATTATTGATTTTATTTCAAGTGTTATGAATTTATGACTTTTGGTTCGTGGGATGGCCCAACAAAACAAAAAGGCTTGGTTCCCGGAATCCAATCATTTCCTTTCCAGCTCGGTAGGCCCGTTCCAGTATTTTAGTGGGCTCCTTTGATATGGTCCATTATTTTATTCCACCAAACCTGTGGTTCCCGAGGCTTGACTTTATATTGGGCCAATTATAATTACAAATATTTTGCTTATTCTATTATTAATATAAGACTTATTTAACTAATTTGATTAAATTGAAAAAAAATTAGTTATTTAATTTTGAAAAATATGAATTTTTTTAAAAATATCATAATCATCTTCCTTAATATCTTTATTTTCTCTTACTTGATTGTGGTTGAGAGAGTATCCTATAATTTAAGAAAAATTAATAAATATAAAAATATGTCTTATATTTATGGTCAAAATTAACTCAATATTTAGGTATTATATTAAGGACATGAGCGGTAATTAATAAGCAAGAATATGCAATATTTAATGGCCAAAAATGCAGACAAAATGCACGCATTTTATATACGTTCCTTCTGCTGTTTTAACTCTTCTAGTCTTCCAGAAAGAATATGAAGTTAGCATTTGGAGTCAACATCATTGGTAAACAATTTTGAATTAGTCAAAATTCCGCGATAGTCTCTATTTACTGATTTATTGAGAAGTCGGCTTGTCTCAGATTCCCCAATCCATCCTCACACGTGGATATAATGTCCATGGAAACTTTTAATTCATAAATTTGTTATCCTCCAATGTATGTTAACCTCGTTTAATACTACTAATTAGAGGGAAAAAACTTACCCACAATACATAACATTTGACATGATACGCTTTAACATTGAATGGTGCTTTAAATATTATTGTCTACATTTAATATCTGATTATATCTCGAAGAGATTATCTCAAACAGAAATATGTCTACAAGCAATAAGAAAAACATATTACAATATTTTAAACTTCAAAATTGTACATAATATGCATGTTTTAAATGAAAAATTTATTTAATTGAATGTTGTTTTAAGTTAAAACTCAAATTACACTTTTATGTTAAAAATTAACATCAATTTAATAACTTTTGTTCTCGTGTCACAATTACGATATATTATATTATTATGTCACCTTAGATCCACGATGGGATATTGTTTCCCTCATGGAGTTTTATTACGTACAGATAAATACAAACATACTCCTACAATTCAAAGCATATCAACACACACTCGCACACTTTTTTTTAATATTATTTGTATGCCCTTTTTACCAAATTATTTGTATGCATTTGCAAATTACAAATTTGGATAAATAAAGTAATAAATCAAAACGCGTTTGTCCAAATGAAATCCGAAGTCTTGAACACATCCGCTGGTTTCCTCCAAGAGGAAAAATAGGAGACGTATTCAATGTCGTCATCATACCACACGGAAATATTTAATTAGCATGACATCTTGACCGTCCATTTTGGTTTAAAATTAAAATCAATATATATAATGAATCATCATCCATATGTAAAATTACAATATACATATATAACAAACTTTATTATTTTACAGTGTTGAATGTGACAATTCAATTATATAAGTACTCCTCCGGTCCTTAATATAAGACCTATTTAACTAATTTGATTAGATTAAGGAAGTTAGATAAGTTAGTTAATTATAAGAAAAATGACACATTTTTCCTAAAATACAATAATCATCTCTCTTAATACCTCATCTCCTTCTTCTATTTGATCATAGTTGATGGAGTATCCATAGGGGTAATTTAGAGAAAATTGATAAATATGAAAAATGGGTCTTATATTTAAGACCAAAACCAATTTAAGAATTGAGTCATATATTAAAGACCGGAGGAGTATTATCTTTAATTTTTGTAATGCAATAACAACCCATTTTCATTTTTACTAGATTATTGCACTATAGCGTCATTATTTGAAGACCATTGCAAATAAGAAAGGAGAAGAAGCGCCCGCCACGGAAGGAAGAGAAGAAATACCGGTCAACGGTCAACAAACATTTATTGCAGTCAAATAAAAGTTGCCCACTAGAAAAAAAAAAGGTGAGAAAGTGAAAGGGATTGGAAAGATGAAGATGAATTATAAAACAGCACCAAGTCCTAGGTCTAGGGATGCGAGTGTGTGTGTGCGGGTTTAGGCAGCAAGTGAGGATGACGACCCTTGTCCGGAACGGCACCCTCACTTTTAGCCGCCGCTACAGATACGAGCCTCTGGGACTCAAGTCCGTCAGCTACAGACGCAGAAGAGCCAAACAAAGGCAAATCTTTCTCACTACCTACAGGCTAAGTTCCTTCTCCCAAGATTTCCCAGATTCCAAACCCCCTTCTTCTTCTTCTTCACCTCCTAAGCTCAAGAAGGTGGCTGTCAAGGTTAAGAAAATGGTCAACTCTGTTCTCGTCTTCATGCGAACTGGTTCCTTCAGATCCTGCAGTTCTAAGTCCGCCATCTCAGCTTCCTCCCCTGCACCATCATCCAACACCAAAAACGTTTTACTGGCCCTGATTTGCTTCAATCAGACATGGCGCAACGCACACTGTGAGTGATGAAGACTTGCAGTATTTGGGTTTTTAGAGATATGAAGGCAAATTAACAGGATTTAGGATCACCCCTGTTGCTTGCTGCGTCATCTTCTTTCAGGTTATGACGGCAAAGACCAATAAGCAAGCAATTTAGTTTAGCGGGTGTTACCTTGTTGTCACAGGGTTTAAAATTTCAGTTATTACCATATGTATTTGTGTATATCTAGCGATTAATATGATGCTACCTTGAAAGTTATGTGCTCGATGATCCCAGAATAGAGTTCCTTCTGCGATTTGGGTCGCCGTCATATATACAAGGCAATTCAAATAGCATTAAAGATGCTTATAGGTTGGAATGGAAGTCTAATTTGAGTTAACTTGGATAATTTTTATGGGAGTTTCAGTAAGCTTTTTGTGCAGACTGGTTTGAAATTGAATCACGGAGATAGCATGCCGGGATTCTGCAAATTATTCTAACAGGATGAAGAGGGGGAAACGATGTAAACCAAACCTTGTAAAGCCTATAACACCATTTTTTCAGTAAAGCATATGACTTTTGACTCACCGAGAGTCTGGGACCCAACTTCCACGTTGATGTTTGGCTGAGACATCACTGATGTTTTATATTTCCATAAACTAAAAGCGAAGCTGGCCTAGTGGCCTTGGCCAGGACTAATGAAGTAATTCACACTCATTGTTTTCTTTCTTTCTTTCTTTTTTTTCCCGCAATAATGTCATTATCATCATTGCTGTTATACTTTCTTGTTAAGAAAAACCACAAAAACAAAAAACAGTCGAAATAAGAAAATTATACATAGGGATTTGTTCATAAAATTATTGTCAAAACCTATATTATTATTGTCAAAACTCATGCTAATATTGTCCAAAAAAAAATTCAAAATAGAAAAGTACACATCGGGATCTGTTTACAAAAATTGCTGTCAAAACTTAAATTATTGTTGTCAAAACTCATACTAATATTATTATAAGTCCTTATTTGTTATTTTTCATTGCCACTTTTTTTTTGGCCATTTTTCCTTCTTATTATATATTTATAACTTGAACTTTTTTTGACGCGTTGCATGGACCTTAAAATTCAAGAGAATTTTAATGCATTGAATTTAATAGTATTGTGACGGAATTTGTTTGAATTATGGGTACATAGAATAATAAGCTAACTTTGGTCCTGGGCTCGGCCCAATGGATTTAAGACAAAACATTAATTGGGTCCAGCCCAGGACCAAAGAGCTTGTCAAATTTGCATAAATACAACGAAACAAAAAATGAGTATGTAAGCCCAGAATGGAAGCCTAGTCGTGGTGCAGGTTGGAGGATAGAACGTGAGTAATAAAACTTCCGGTTTAGGCTCAGGAATTGAGAATAGCAAAAGAAACTAATCTTTCATAGCAGAGCGAACCAAAATTCAAAATCTCGATTGAAAGAACTACTCACGTTTAATACTTGACCATGTCTCAAAAAAAAAAGCTGTACTTAGGATGAAAAAAAAAACTTTAGTTTAGTAATACTTAAAACTTTGAGAAAATCCCACCAGAAGGCCAAGTGGACCACAAATCTAAAAGCATCTGCCTTAAATCCCAACACCTTTTAGCCTAGAAAAATTAACATACAAATAATGATAAAGATTTAAATTCTTATCTAATATAAATGTATAATAATTTTAAAAGAAATCAAAACTTTAAATATGTATCACATTCATATCAATATAATTTAATAGTAGGAGGCTACCATAATTGGGCTGTGCTCAAAATAAGGTAAGAGCTGCACGCCGCAGGCCAGTTTGAGTCCCCCAAAAATCTAGCTAGACAAACGGCACGCTCTATAACCATCCAAATGCAGCAGAATCCTCAACCATTAGCCTTCCTCAAAACAGAGCAAGTACCTCATTCCCGTCAAAAAGAACATCTTTGATCAAGAAGAGAGAGAGAGGAGAGGTTTTTTTTGACCCAGAAAACACTCAACTTTCCTCATTCTTCTTGAGAATGCGTTCGTAGTTTTCCCAGAAACAGGACAATATCATCCGCCGCCGCCGCCAGCTGCGTCTAAGACAGTCTATTTAGAACCATCATTGATCACCAGTCAATTCATCGGCACCCACCACCATGGGTGCCCCACTGAGATACGTTGTTCTAGACCCAGATGGTTTGCCTACTCCTCCACCCGGCCGCCGTAACATCCCGCGTTACCATGAACACGACCACCACCACTCCAGCGGATACGGTTGCATGAAGTGCTTCTGCTGCTGCTGTTGCTTCATCTTCTTCGTCATCCTCCTCATTTGCGCCACCCTTGGTTTTCTCGTCTTCTTCCTGAACCCTCAACTTCCAGTCTACACAGTTGATAACGTCAGTGTCACCAAATTCGATACCCAACACGGGAATAAGGTCTACACCGAACTCAACGTTGTTCTGAAAGCACAGAATCCAAACGAAGAGATTTCCCTTGGATATGGGGAGAAGAGTTCGGTGATCATTTTGTATTCTAATAACCAGCTCTGTAGTGGACAAATCCCAAGTTTCCAACAACCTCCGAAGAACACCTCGATGATGAACGTGGAGTTGAAAGGTGAGAGTGATTTTGATTCACAGACTCAACAAGACTTGTTGCAGGATCAGAAGGAAAATAAGATTCCCTTGGATGTAAAAGTGAATGTTCCCCTCACGATCGTGACCCATGGCACACGTTTGAAGGAAATTCCAGTCGTTATCAAATTCAAATTGACCGTGGACAATTTGCAGCCAGGTCAGAAGATTAATGCTGTATCATCCGATTTCCAATATGGAGGAGGAGAAGAATGAATGTTTTCCTTGTTACCGGGAGTCTTGTTATATTCGGAGAATGAAAGACGAAATTGGAGCTTTTCTCTTTTTGACTGAGAATTAACGAGTCTTCTTCTTTAGCCACAAAGGGAAGTTGCATTCATTGTAACAGAAGTAACTGTATCTGATAAAGGGTGAGACATAATATGGGAATCCTAAAATGGCAGAGTCATGAACACATCGACTCCCATGAAGTGTAGGTGCAGAGAAATGAGGGAAGAAAAATGGAGAGGAGCAATAACAAATTCCTTTTGTAGTGACCATACTATTTGACTGATTTATTATAGCGCACTCCATGAGACATTCATTTTCATATGAATATGATGGGCGAGGTCTACCATATAAATCTCAATTAATCATGACAGAATCAGCATTGAATATAAAATGATATTCTGTGTATCCTATTAAACTAAATATGTTACCCACGGATATAGGGACAGATTTATATCTTGTTAATTGTCAGTTACTTGAAGAGTTTCAGACACTTGTTGAAGTGGAAACCTCTCAGGTAGAAGAGAAGTGGAGCCTTGCAGGGATTGTCATGGAGTTTGAAGCTGCCATTAATTCCTTCCAGAGACAGGATAAATATCAACTTATCGATATGTTCACATGTCAATGGATGAAACCTGAAGACATTGACTGGTAAGTGATAACATCCAGGCTGCACAAATTTGATTATTGTAGCTTAATCTCAAAGCCAACTTTTGGCTTACTGAAATAATAAAAAACAGAAAAATCTCTTTCTTCTCCATCATCTTCAGAAGGTCCAGAGTATCGTAGAAATAATATATCTGGCCTCTGGTAACTGGAGACTGGAGCCCAATGAATGTGAGGCTATCTCACTTCCTCAATATGAGTACGTCTGTTCTAGTCACACAACTGTATAAAGCTTGTGAGGGATGGGATCTTCCATCGAGGCAGTAGTGCAGTTGCAGGGTGCCACTTGAGGTGTGCATGATTGTGAATTTGTGACGTTTCAAAAAAAATTCCTAAGGGACTTGTAAAATGCAAACCCTAGCAATAAATGCATTATCAAGAAATCATGATTTTGGCTGCTGTCGCTCTTGAAAAGTTACTGATATATCACCAGGTGCCAGTTCTAGCATTTAGTCAATAAGAATTTAAATGAAACCCAGAGAAGGAAAAAAACCCAAATCAGAAGTGAAACTTGAAAAGTTTCACAATTCGATTACTGGAACTTAAACACGTAGTTTTCAGGTCCTTGACAAAGAATTATAAAATTGATGTTAAGGGCTAGAGTTAGTACAAGATTCTTTTAAACTTATTCAGTTTCTATCCAACTTATTTATGAGAAGTTACAGGGAAGCCTTGTACTGCAAGGATCCATCTGAATAAAGAATGTTGTAATTAACCTTAAAAGATTCTGTTCATCCGATCCATTAAAGTAGTTAGGTATGACCCGTAAGACAGGGCTACCCAAAGCAAAAATCTCACAGGCATAACAACAACCACTTAAAGGGCATTTAGAGAAGAACAGCGTACATGCAACATGGGATTAAAAAAGTCAATGATTGTCAGGTCAATGTGAACTAATAATTGTACCTTCTCATTTGTTAATCAAGAATGACACTATTGAAATCACGCTCGATCGAGTTTTCTAGTATTTCCACCCTTGAGGAGCCCACTTAGCTAAACTGAAATTGGAACATGAGTTGGGTGGCCAACCCAGAATTACATTTTTATAACAGAGAGAAAGATACGAGTAAAAGATAAGAGAAGTGGGGATTAGATTACCTGTTCTTTGACCCTCCATGAAGCCTCTTGTTTTCTCTAGTATACGACAAAAGAATGAACAGAGACAAAGTCACGCTTCCATTATGTCAATGTGACTGACCAACAATAGAGAACTTTACAAAGGCAGAGCAGCCTTTCTGTGTCAGTGCGTGCTCTTTAAGGATCAGCGCAAATGACATCAGTGGCTCGTGGGCTTAATCTTTGCTAAGGCGTGCTTCTTCATCCTCCTTCCTCCTTTAAATCACACCCGCCTTTTGTTTTCTTTTTCTTACACTGGTTCAACTACCTAAATAAAACTTAAGAGTAATTAAACTAGTTTTCTTCCTTTATTAGTTTAGGAATATGTTGTATTAGACAGATATACACTCAATCAATTTCATATTATGACTAATAGAATTAAATGTGTATAAATAAGTTAGCTTCATATAAATATTAATTAGTTTAATAAATGAGTGGTTCAGTGTTGTGTTGAACTGATTGGCCAAAGTTTAGAATTATCATTAGTTCTTTGAACAAGTAACCACGTAGTGGATTTCACGGTGGTGATCACTACCTCCCAGCCCCTTACTTACCACAAAATCACTTACTTTAATTAATCTATTGACCTTAGTATATCACAAAACAAACATCGTCCCCATGGGTCTAGCCTCGTCTCCAGTCCCATTGGGACTCAAAAGGACTAATTTGATATTCTCATCAAATTTATAATAAAAATTGGAAATTTTTTTCATCATGATTTATATTTTTATTAGAGAAAACATAACCAACCCTTTATTACCAAAAATAAAATAATTAAACTATAAAATTATGGTAAATCTATGTGAAATTGTTTTCTTGGAGAATAATCTTATCCGAGATTCTAAAACTAATACCGCAACGTGCCTGTAATCTCAGAAGTAGGTTTTATAAGAAGATGACAAGTGCACAAAGGAACCGGCGGAGTGGGGGAGTTTTTCAACCAGACCACAACTGTCCCCTTCTTCATAGGTATCCTCTTTCAACCCCACTCTCCTCCACAACTCTCAACTTAACTGTCTTTTCACTTTCAGTTATTCTTCCATCTTCTTCATCATCTCTACGACTTTATCCTTCTCGAGGTTCCTTTTTTCCCCCTCTCTGCAAAACCAGCTTAAACCCTATCGCTTTTTCCTGGTTTTATGTCGTAGCCGAAGAACAGACGGACCACCGTCTGATTTTAGACATGTTGGACATCTTGTTTGGGTGGTCAAAGGCTTCTAAATGGTAACTTCACGTCAAAAGTTGAAAACTTGGCAGATTCATTCTTGTTCATCTTCTGCTTCTTCTCACTACTTCTATAATTGTTTAACTGGGTTTCAGCAAGAAGGTGATCAAAAGAGCTAGGTGCAGGCTCAAGCTGCTCAAGAACAAGAGGCAGGCAATAGCGAGGCAGTCACGTGAAGATGCCGCTGAGCTTATAAAGTGTGGCCATCAAGAATCTGCTGTCAATCGGGTACGTAAATGCCATTTACATGGGACACAAACGAACATAGAGCCTAGGTATAATTATGTATCAAAATTTGAGACTTCGATGTCAAATTTAAAGTTTCATGGCGTGTGTTCATACAAATGTTATATGCGTCGGACATGACACTTTATCGTTGACGTTCCGGTATCTCTCTCCTGTCACATCCTCTGTTTTAATTAAAAAGGAAATCTTTCCATCAAGAATAATAATGGCTTAAGTCATGGTTGAGTGGAAGGTGGTTTTGCATCAACCAAGTTGCGTTGGGAATTACATGCAGTTCGATCTTCTTTTGTTCCTTTTTACTGTTTCCAATGAATCTAGCTAAATATTATGGATTTCAGGTGGAGCAGCTAATCAAAGATGAAACTTTATCTGGGGCTTATGAATTGTTAGATCACTTCTGTGAATTTATCCTGACCCAACTCTCCTATATCCGAAGGCACAAGTACGACTTTGATCAAACTGATTCCTTGGATTCTTGTTCGGGACAATCATTTTAACTACTCTCTAACTTGCCTAAAACAGGGACTGTCCAAACGACATCAATGAAGCAGTTTCGAGTTTGATATTTGCGTCTGCGAGGATTGGCGATCTTCCTGAGCTTTTTGTCATCAGGAAGCTCTTTGGACAGCGCTATGGCCAGAGGTTTGCAACTACTGCTGTGGAGCTAGTTCCTGGGAATCTTGTGAACAAGCAGGTTTTTCAATTGAAGATGAGAAAACTTCCCTCAAATTTGATGCAATTATAGTTATAGATCAAATCATGTGCGCTTATATATAGTGATGATGCTTTATAATCGCAGTTAATAGAGAGCCTCTCGTTAAAGTCTGTGCCGTATGATGTAAAGTACAGAGTTGTCGATGAAATAGCAAGAGACCACTGCCTCCAACCAGAGGTTTTGGCTATTGAGTACTATCCTGATTGGCAACAAATGCAGGTAATTCATTTCGGCTAGACCACTGTATATGCGATGTAAAGAAGGAAATAATTCTTTATATTTTGGGGGGGGGGGGATTACAATCTAAAGGGTTTAAGAGATAAAGACACAAACAGAACACAGAAGGTGGCTCATTCCTCTGGATCCATCTTCACCTTTATATATGTTTATCTAGTCTAGTGGCGCCGGATTTACATTCAACACTTTTGAACAGGAGAGAGAAATCAAAGAGTATGAAGTAGAGGAAGATGGTGGCAAACCAGAGATGCACGTTTCAGAGGTTGAAGAGATACAGAGAGAAATCATTTGCGTTGATTCACCTATCAAGAAGTTGTTGCTCAAGCCAACTAGCCCTCGTTTTCTGCGAGAATCTAACGCAGTTGATGTTTCTGCCATAATTTCTACTGTTCGGAAATATCTCCCCTATATTCAGAGCTTTCCTTTACAAAAGATGGCGAAAGTACAGAACATCTCTAAGCTCCTTCCTGGTTTAAAAGACACGAGAGAATTGGTAGCATATGATAATGACATAGAGGAACCTCAGTCTTCTGCATCAAGAAATGGATCCTTTCGTGACCAAAGGCTAATGAAGTTCAGAGAACAAACTCGATCGGATTATGGTCATCAGAGTAATTTGGATGAAAGGGAGTCGGAAAGCGACAAGTCAAGCACGAGGAGCTCTAGAAAGAGCAAGAGGGCACGTGAGAAAAGAATAAGAAGAAGATCAGCATCACTTGAAAGCCAATGCATAATGGATATTGGCTGCTTGATATACTATCATCACAAGCCATCCAGAAATGCCTCTTCTCACAGAACTTGCTCTCGCTACCACTTAAAGCACCAGAAGCCTTTCATAGAAGCACTTCCACAACCAGGTTATGCCCACAAGAGACTGAAGCAGCATAACTCTTCAGAAATGGAGCAAAATGCCTGCAGCTTGGACAATCCCTGCTATTGCTCTGTTCATGATGACAGTAGAGACTGTTTGGAAGGGTTACAGGTGAATCCAAACATAGGAATAAGAACTATACAAAGTGAAGAAAAGCCCATTTCGAATGAAGAATCAAACAAGGGAATGGAATTAGTTTCCGTTCCTCAGAGAGCAGTATATAATGTATTCACGTACCCAGATTGTAACAAAACAGAGAAGCAGAAGAACGGAACACCAGAAGCGTACGCAAGAGCTGTGACGATGCCCCCAGAGCGGCATAAAACTCGAAGGGACAAGATGATGAGGATGTATTCATGTCCGCCTGAATATCCCAACCATGTTCATCCCAAGTTGCCAGACTATGATGATTTAGCTGCTAAGTTCAACGCTCTCAAGAGAGAACATCTCCAGAACAAAGTGACCTCTTTGGCCACTTAAGAAACTCAAAGGTAGAATAGGAGGCACGCGTAGTATATCCATTTTTTTTATTTAATCTTCCCATTCGAATAGCTTTATTTGTGCGTTGTTGTATTGATTTACCTTGTTGAGTTTGCAAAAATATCCTTCAGAAACTCTTTTTTTTTTTTGGGTTGCCATCAGTCCTTAAGAAATCTAGTGATATGCAAAAGAACAAGATATCTGCCCCTCAAAAAGTCACTGGGGTGTACGTTTATGGTCTTATCCGTGGGCACAAGTACCTTGACATTTTGTTTCAGTTTCATTTTAAATTACATTTCATTTCATCATCTCATCTCACATACTTTCACCATTTCATTCATCACATTTCATGCCAATGACGCATCGAGATTTTGAAATATCTCGTGATACATTATATTTTTTGTCCTCCCAGAAAATGTACCATGATTCATATTTATTTATTATAATCTTCAATCCCTCTAAGGATCTAACTCTAGACAAAGCAACATATAATTACCCATGTGAGAAGGCCAGCTTACATAAAAATAACCCAACGTGATTTAGAAATTGCCTTAACTTTTGTTAATTATCATAACAAATGTCAAGATGATAGGAAACTACCTCCTTTGCATACAAAATGGTCATCTATTTTTTAAAGGATTCATGTCTATTCTACGAATAAATACCTTTTGGTTTGGCTGATTACCATTCAATGTTATCAATTCAATGACTCATTTGCCAACTTGAGAAGTTTGTAATCGTGTCTCATTACACAAGTCAGCTGCTTGATCAATATTTCTCAACGACATAATAGGTGCTTTAACTTTCAATATCAACTTGTGCCGTGGCATACCAAAGTAACTAAATATGTTTAAGAATTCAGTAGCATATAAGTCATCAAAACTATTGGCATCTGCAGTGGATTTGCAAATTGAATTATAGCTTATGAACTCATATGGCTCCCCTGACAACAAAGAACACATATGATCATTGATTTGGTTGATCATCTCAACTATTGGTGCAAGTATGACTCTATCATTAAAGTACTCATTGCTTGTGAAATTAGCAAAATACGTCACCATAAATTGACCTAACAATAGCATCCAATGAATTTTCATCAATAGCTAGTAGTAATTCCTTTGAGATTTCAATATCCACTACTACATAATGTGATTCTTGGATTCTCCAAGATTCCCATCACCAACATCTAATAACTCTAGTGAGTATACTTTCACTGATAGAGTTACTGTCCATATAGTTTAGACTCTCATGAATCATAAACTTCTCCTCACAATAAGCATTATCTTTTACGGATCAGAACATTTAATGAGAAAAATTAGTTTGTAAATCCTTAATTTCACTTAATTTTTAATAAGAGTTTTTTTAAAATTTTTTCCCTCATCGTATCCTTATAATTTCATTGATGTTCAATCACATTTCTATAGTTTTTTTCTTTTTATTACGCTTTTATGGCTTCACTTAATTTTTAATAAGGCCTCTATAATTTTAGGTGACTCGTTAAAAAACCTACAAAATCTGAAATCAATGAAATTATAAGAATGTCAAAATGTAATGAAACATGGACGTGATAAAGCCGCGACTCATGGTTTGCGAACTCCATAAATCCAACAAAAATCCTCCTAAACTAACGTGGACGATATTTAGGTCAAGTTATTTATTATTTATATCTATTGTATTAAATCTTAATTTCCAATCACACATAGCCATATGTTTTATTTTTAGAATATTAGCATTTAATGTCACATAATTATAAATTCACACACACAAAAATAAAACACATGACTATATGTGATTGAACAACTCGATATAATAAATAATAATAACTTCACTTATTATATAGAGGTGGGAATACGGGCCGGCCCTGTAGGGTTGGCAGGCTTAAAAGGGTTAGTCTTACAGGACGAAAATTTTAAAAATATCTCAATGTGTTAGGCCTAACCCTTAAGCTAACGGGCTCATGGTCGGTTGGCAAGCTTTCGGCCCATTTAAGAAAAAATATTATTTTCCAAATTTTTCACATTTTTGTTAAAAAAAAAAAGAAAGAACATAAACCAATAAAATTATTGATATAAAACATAAATATAAATAAAATTAAGTCACAAATACAAAATATCATCATATATAAATATCTATTAATATCCAATAACATCTAAAATATTCATTAATAAGATAACAACATTCAAAAGTTTCATCTGTAGTGTAAATGTGCAATAAACAAATACTATTATTAATTTTTTGAAACTTCATCATCACTATAATCAATTACTCTTCTTTATAATTCTGCTTTTATTTCGTAACAAAAATATCAAGTTTTTTTTCTTTATAAGAATTTCACTTTTAAATTTTGCAGTCTAACTATTATTTTACTTTAGTTTGAGAAACATTATTGTTGAAACTCATAAATTTCTAATTCAAATTATAGAATCAGAAGTTATATAAGTACTATCTCAGGTCCTTAATATAAAACCTTGTTTGACTTTTATTTTGGTCCTAATTATAAGATTTCAATCCACTTTATCTCTCATATTTATTTATTCTTTTCTATGGTAATCCTTCTAACAATAATAGTTTTGGCCAATATACTTGATTAGTAAAGATATTTTAGGAAAGACAATACACATTTATTACGAAAAACTAACTTAACTTCTTTTCTTAACCCCCTCAAATTAGTCAACTAGCTTTTATAATTAGGACCAGAGGTAGTATAAAAATACTCTTTTATCAAATATATATAGTTTAAAAATATCAACGCATATAATATAAATCAAATCATTATTAAAGTCCAAATTAACATATCTTTTAAAAATTTAATTAGACAAATTATTGTCTAAAACTAAATAAATCAAACCATTCTGTGAAATTTAATTTTAAAATGATAATAATAACTAAATATTTGAATTATCATTAACAATATAAAAAATTAATAATATTGTAATTACACAAAAAAATTTTAAAAAGCAAAAAAATTATAAAAGAGTTTAAATGGATCGGCCAGTTTAAACCCTCGGCCCTATAAGGCTTGTTTTCCATTTAAAGAGAAAATTTTTAAACCCAACTTTCATAATTTTCAGGCTTAAATGAGCCGGCCTGATGAGTTTGGCTCATTTTTCTGACTTTATTATTATATTAGTTAGCTAGCATAAGTCTTAACGCCCTATCTATGAATTATTAATTAATTATTCGGATGGCCAAAAATATGAATATAATTAATTATTCGCTAACTCACTTAAAATCGTTTTTTATTCTTAAAAACACATGATAGTTATGATGAAATCTTTGTACTGCCGCTATGGTTGAAAATAGGCCACCGACTTGGACCTATTTTCACCGACTTAACAAGGAGGATCGCACATCCTACTGTACTCACCGAAAGTGAAACTTGGGAATTGATGGAACCTGGCTCCTTTGGTTATTAATCTTTCATCAAAGTTTTCGAAATTTCCATTTACGTATAGGCAAACAGGATCGTCGGTAACTTTTTGTACGTGAATATGCTCCATGTAATGCAAATCATGTCATTAATAAGATGCTTAGTGAGCTTCTTTTAGCTCTTGGTCACATGTTGTTGTTAATTAAGTAAATTCTGACTACTCAAAGTGATGGAATGATGGTGGAGAAAGGAATTTAATTAATACTAAGAATACGGCGTTACTGTAATAATTTAATTATTGCATATTTTGGACTGAGACAGAGCACGCCATCACTTCTCACAAGTCACAAGTATAATTTTATTCACCCAATTATAGAAGCATTCAAATGTAATCCATCTTTTAAGGGCGACGTACGAGGTCATAAAACCTAGTACACCCGCATTCACATACCTTTTGAGGGGGAAAAGAACGATTTTAAAGACTTAAATTCTGTGAAATTTTAGTGGCTGTCTGAAATAATGACGTGGTCACAACTTGAACCTTGTACTAATGCAGATCCTTGTTCCCTTTCGATTCTTTCCATATCATTCCTATATAAACCTCTCTGCCCCGTACTCTGTGTCCCCCGCAAGAAATCTCTCCATTCTTCATGTTTTGCTTGAGATTGAAGATGGTTCGGTCCAAAGCCGAGATTTTGAGTTTTGGTAATCCCATTCTTTTTCTTTTTCTTTTTTTCTCACTTTTGATTTTGATTTGATTGGATTAACTCTCTAAATCAAAAGTTCAAAACCCAGACTTCAAAATTCTCTGTTTTTTTTCCTTTTAAATTTTCCTTGTTAGCTTGACTACACTGAATCAGGATCCTCAGAGTTTTAGACTCTTGTATTTCTGTTCATTTTGATCAGCTTCTTCATCCATCTCTTTTCTCTGCGTACAACACCCAAAAAGTCTCTGTTTCTGAGATGGATAGATTCACCAATGGTGTTGATGGTACTCAAATGGGAGAAATTCGAGACTCGAGCTTTCAGAGGCAAGCATGGAAGTCAGTTTATGATGAAGCTCACAAGTCAGATAGGCCTCTCAAAAGAATCTGTAGCCCTGAGCGTCAAATCCTATGCCATCCCTCTGTTTCTCTCACTCTGCCTCCACCTCCTTCATCGTCTTCTTCAAGTATCACGTTTCCCTTTGCCCTTGATGAGTCTCCCTACCAATCTACAGCCACAACTTATCAGCCCTTGAAGTCTTTCGCATGCCCACCGTTTTTAGGATCAGACCCAGAACGTGATCATCATCAGCGGCGGCAGACGCCTCTTCGGCCATTGCACACTACTAAGCTATACAGGGGAGTGAGGCAACGCCACTGGGGCAAATGGGTGGCTGAGATTCGTCTTCCTAACAGTAGAAATCGCCTCTGGTTAGGCACATTTGACACTGCAGAAGATGCTGCTTTGGCTTATGATCGTGAGGCCTTTAAGCTCAGAGGAGAGAATGCTAGGCTCAATTTCCCCGATCTCTTTCTCAATAAAGCTCCCCATTCAACTGCTTCTTCCTCCTCGTCCTCAAAGCAGCCTGAACCAGAAGAGAATCACGAGGTTCAGGAAACTGCTAGAGGTAATACAGCAGAGGGAGGTCTTTCAGAGGCAGAGAAAGTGGGTTTGGGAGACATGGAGGCTTGGTACAACACGATTCCACAAGGCTGGGGACCCGAGAGCGCTGTGTGGGATGATTTAGACAGCACCAACCATCTTCTGTTTCAGTCACAGTTTCCTTTTGTGAATCCAAACCAGCAAGACTTCGATGATGCTAATAATGCTGAGAGACAAGAAGACAAGACAGGACCAGATTATGCCTCCGCTTCCTCCTCTGCTTGTCTCATGAAACCTTTCTCCTGCAGGGATTAAGATTGATGTTTCCATTTAAAAATTGAGACCTTATTCTCAGCATCAAAATCCTGCATCTTGTCTGAGCTACATACTAAGATACAGCTCAAGTTTCTGTAGGTGATAAGACGACATGTTATTTATTTCCAGGCCTCTCAGAACTCAGAAGACACGAGAGATATCAAGCTACATGAGCCTTATGAGGATGTTAGGTAGTAGCTTGTAGTTTGGAGCATGAACATGGCAGAAGGAGATGCTTTTGTGACTTCCCTCTCCATAAAGCTCTGTTTTTTTCGGTTCCATTGGCATATTGATTTAAAGTTTTTTTTTGGTCAGAGATTTAAAGTTAATAACACTATATACTAAAAAATCTATAGCAATTTAAAATTTTATATTTTTTTTGAAAATATATTAATGATAATGATTATATAAATATCATATAAAGTTTGATGATAACTTGCATTGTTAAGCATAACTGTGACTTTTAAAATTTTCAACGTATATTTTCTCATATCTGAATTGTTTAGATATAGTTTTCCTCCGTAAATTTAACAGACAGACGAAAAATAACAACTAATTTTTATATATACATATATATATTACGTATTATATAAAGTTTGAAATTGACCACCATGAAAAAATTATATATATAAAAGAATCTAATCACTTTATTTATATTAATTTGATTTCTTAATATAATAATTATATAACTAATTGACAGATATTAAAAAAATAATTATTTATAATAAATGAATGATAGCTTCTTTAAAATACTCATATTAGTCATGCATATTAAAACTATCATTTAATATAAAAAATTCTTAATATTTTAATTACTATATATTATTTGGGGTAAAATGTAGCGTCTTATGATTAAGATCAATTTATATTTTTAATTAAATTTTATATCCGGGATGTAGAGATTATTTACATTTTATAAGTAAAGTACCCGGCTTTGTGCGGTTAAGGCAGTTTTTCTGGGCTTTGTCAGAGGCCCAGCGAAGGGCTGAAAAGTTGGATTTCATTTCAGCAGTAACCCAGTCCGAGACAACAAAACATTGCCAACTTCTTTTATGTTTTTGGGGGCACAATTTCATCTTCTATTATAAAGGTGATATTTTCAGTAAGTATCACTATTAAATGGTTTGTTGGATGATTTTGATGTCTAATTATGTAATTTCGTTGCAGTTTTATTATTAATATTGAAATGAAATGAATATCAAATCATCTAATTCTCAATATTATTTGTAGACACTAAATAATACTATCTCCAGTCTTAATTATAAGAACTAGTTGACTAATTTGAGAAAATTAAAAAAGAAGTTTAGGTAGGTATTTGTAATAAATAGGTTTTTTTTTCTAAAATATCTTTATTAATCAAGTATATTAGCTAAAATTATAATTATTAGAGGGACTATCTTGAAAAAAATTGAGTAAATATGAGAGACAAAATAGATTTGGGTCTTATATTTAGGATCAATATAAAAGTTAAACGGGGTCTTATATTAGGACCGTAATAATGATTTGGCAAAAAAGAAAAGTGACTCAAGTTTTCACTGTCAAATTCAAAGATTCAAAGTGTAAATTATGTCAATATTTTTTCGGTAAGTTATATCAATACGGTAAAAAGTCGTTAATGTTGAGAATTTAAAATTAAGTATGTCCAATCCGAAGGAAGGATAAGGATGGGAAATACTGAAAATCAAATAACTGGCTGGAGCTTTATAACCCAAATAATACCAAACGTTTTTCTTAGTACTTTTTTTTTTTTTAATCAAGGGGTTCATACTCTTTATAAAAAATAATGAATTTATGAGCTATGAAAAAAATTAAAAGTAAATTACCAAAATATAATTGAAGAAAATAGAAGAGAACTATATTACTCCTCCGGTCCTTATTATAAGACCCAATTTGACTTTTTATTTGGTCCTAATTATAAGACCCAATCCATTTTCTCTTTTATATTTATGCATTTTTTTTCAAGATAATCCTTCTAATAATGATAGTTTTAGCCAATATACTTAATTAGCAAGGATATTTTAGGAATAACAACACTTATTTATTATAAATAACCAACTTAACTTACTTCCTTAATCTCCTCAAATAAGTCAATTGGGTCTTATAATTAGGACCGGAGGAGTATATTATTTCCGGCCTTAAATATAAGATTTTATATTTTTATAATATAAAAATAAAATCCCGATGGAGCTGTTAGTGTCTGATTCGGGAGGCTTAGATGGCTGCGTTGGGCTCAAATGGGCCTTACTTTGTTGACTTTTAAATAATTTTTTAAGAATCATTAAAGAGATGTTGATAGCTGACTTTATCTTAATTAAGTTCATTTTTTTGGGCCAACAATTAACTTCATATCTACTTTCACATGGATATAAAATAAATATATTCATCAACTTAGATAAAATTTAAAGTAAATGCTTAAGCAACAATGTCATTAACTCATCCTACATGAAACATCCATTGTGTTTTTTATCCAAGTTTTTTGTTTGTTTGATTGAAGTGTTAGCTATTAGTTTTTTTTTCCTTTTTTAAAGGAACATCACATCATGAAGGGTTTGGATATTAGGTTGTTTATAGTTAGTGAACTGAATAGTCTAGAATAGTTCAACTGATTAATCAAACCAAACTGAAGAAAAAAAAAATTAAAAGACCAGGTTTTATTTAATTTAATTTGATGAGGTTTGGTTTCGCATGTCCTAATTAAAAGTACATGGTGTATGTATGAATTTTACAATGAATATATTTAAGAAAAATTAAAAAAATCCCCTATTAAAAATTTTACCGTATTGCTGGGGGCGAAAATTCCATAAATTTTCGCGTTGAATGAAACAGATTTACGTCGGGTGCCTAAGGCATAAATTATTAAAAAAATGTTATTTATTTTCAAACTTGAATACGTCATTTTTTTAAATTTGGAATATGTTTTTCTAACAGTTGACTGTGAACATTTGGATGAATGTTACGATTCCCCCAAACTTTGACCCATTTGAAGTAATGTAAGAGTTAGTAAATCCACAATCTGCATCTGGCCATTGATTTTTTTTTTTTTTGGGGGTAACGGCCATTGATTATTAAAAAATAAAAAATAAAAACTCGTAGTTACTTCAGGACGCATAAATACGTCAAGCCTGTGTTATTGGGGTGTTTTTTTAACCTCATATATATTATTTATTAAAAGGACTTAAAAATCTCGCAAACGGCAAACTATGACTATTTTATATTTTAACCATTAAACCAAATTTATGGGCTTCAAATAAAATTCTAGAAATTGCGGAATCTGAAGTTGCATGGAGCGGAATATGAGCGGAAGATAATCAAACTTCATTTAGTTTTCTATAAATTAATTGGTCGCAGAAGGTAGGCCGTGGGCGGGAATCTTAATATAACCTTCTGTCCTAATTATAAGAGCTAATTGATTAATTTGAGGAGATTCAAGAAATAAGTTAAGTTAGTTATTTGTAATGAATAAGTATTGTCTTTTCTAAAATATCTTTCTTAATTAAGTGTATTGGGTATAACTATCATTATTAGAAGAATTTTTTTAAAAAAAAAGTATAAATATGAGAGACAAAGTGAATTTGGGTCTTATATTTAAAACCAAAATAAAAATCAAATAAGATATTATATTAAAGACAGGAGATAATACCGTATTAAAGGGAAGTACTTATCTTCATTTATAATTTAAAACTCAAGTCAACTGTTGAATGCTCAAGTCAACTCAATCAATGGCCGCTTATAACGGGCTTCTGTGACTTAAGATTAAATTTTCTTAGATGCAAAGTTGTTAATACAATTTTATAATCATTATTATATTTTAATGTAATTTTATAATGTCGCTAGTTGGTCGATAATAAGAAAAATAATTTTTTGTTGTTTTTGACTCGAATGGGAGAGAATAACAACGAGGTATTAACTAAAATGAAATGATCTATTATCAGTCATTAATTAACTAATTCTGCCGATTTTGAGAAATATCCTATAATTTGCCTAATTTAAATTTTAAATTTACAGATGACTTGGTGTTTGTGTCGTTATCGAAGACTTGGTCTCATTTGTTTGATTGTTCTTTTTAAACATTTAATTTCAACAAGGTTAGATAAGCATGACAACACCAAACCCCCCAAAAAAAAAAAAGAAGGAACGAAGAAAGAAGGGTTTACCAATTACCATTAATTGGTTAATTCATTTTCTGCATCCTATCCAAATCATCTTTATAATTTGAAGTTTCACTGTTTAATCATATGGAAAATAAATAGTACTACCTCCAATTCTTAGTATAAGAGTAGTTGATTAATTAGAGTAGATTAAAAAAATTAATTAAACTAATTATTTATAATAAATAAATCTTGTATTCCCTAAAATACTTTTGCTAATCGCGTATATTGATTAGGATTACTATTTGATAGATATTTAATATGTGCAACTATTGTATGGACTATTTTGTAAAAAATAGATAAATATAAAAGATAAATAAATTGAGTCTTATATTTAGGATCAGATTAAGCAAATGCACGTGTGTTAAGGTGTGATAACAATATTGTTTTCCTAAAAATATCTAACATAATCATAATCTGAATTCCTAATGATATATCCTCAATTTATCGCCATCCTCGTTTAAATATTAAACTAATTATAGAATTTTATTTCTTAAAAAATATATCTCTTAAGATTTTTATCTTTGAATGCACTCATCAAAGCGAATTTGTAACATCTGAATTAATTCACCCTTTTTAATGCTATCTTATTCATCCAGTCATGTTAATTTCAAGAATCAAATTAATTTTGATAGAATATGCAAAGATTTAACAGCAGCATAATATAATAAATAATAATACCGGCGAAGCCCACGTTTCATGGATACCTTCAGGCCTTCACCTTTCGCGATCGCAATTTCCACAGGATAGTTAAATATTTCTAGATTCCACGTCAGAGGTGACCAACTTTTCAATGCATTTGATTATCCAATTGGGATCGGAGTTAAGACAAAACACAGTACAAGAATATCTTTAAACCAATGGAAGGAAACGGAGATGCGTTATAAAATGAATATAAAATATAGTTTGAAGTTCCAACCTCCGACCTATTTAAAATACATTTCTTTAGGAGCCAATCAACATTTATGTTTGGTTGTTAAATTAATTCCCGCGGAAAGCCAGAAAGCAACAATTAATCATATTTTTCACAGGAGGCGCAGCGCAGCTGTTGCCCGGAAAGCGCCATTTAAGCTTAAGAAAAGTAGGAGGTCAAATCCTTGTGATGTCTTCAATGGCACATGTAACGTAAGCTATTTGGTAAAAATGTAAAATATTGGATGAACAGTGGGGTCGCCTTTGCTTGCTTTCTTGTCAAAAAGGGAGGTCCCTCTTGTTGCCTAGTCTTGTCCTTCCATTTCCGCGTCGTTCTTTTCCCTCAGATCTAAAATCCCATTCGAAGCTTTTTCCAGTTTCATAGTATGTCGTAGTAGTCTAAGAACACCATCTTTGGATACTACGAGACTGTGGGCATATACAATCAGATAGAGCAAAGCCGACAACATGGGGTTCCAGGAAAATGGGAACGGCGAAATGGGGCTCTCTGGAATCCCCTTGGGTGCAAAGAACAAGTACAAGAGGATGCACTCCGAGCTTCATGAGGACTCCGACGATGTTTTGCACCAACAATATCAGCAAGATAGGAGGACTAGTACCAGGAATTATGTTCTTGCCTGTGCCGTCTTTGCTTCCCTCAACAATGTCCTTCTGGGCTATGGTAATATTATGCTATCATTCTCTTTGCCAAATTTTGCCCTTTTACCTCTTCGATTTGGGTCTTGCTGCCGCCCCATTTATCATGTAGTACGGTATTCCATCTTCTTGATGTTTTTTTTATCAAGCTTCTATTCCCCACATGTCTTTGTTATGTAGCCTATCCAGACCAATTCGGTTATATTTTATAAACAACCTATAGAAACCTCGCCATAGCCAAGACAATTTGCGGCAAAGAAGTACCCTTCTGATTCATCTGCGAATTTTATTGTCCAAGATAGCAGAAAATGAGAGTGTGAAAGAGATTTTCAATCCAACGTTTCCAGGCTTTGACTTTCTTCTACTTTTGCCTAATAGTGTATGAAATTGTCATAAAACATCATTTTTATTTCAAGCTCTATTTCTGATCCTGGTTTGGCTTCATGTATATAATATGTTGATAGAGTTGGTTTTTTCTCCTGATCTGCAGATGTAGGCGTCATGAGTGGAGCAATTATATTTATCAAAGAAGATCTGAAGATATCTGAGGTGAAAGTAGAATTTCTGGTTGGTATTCTGAGCATTGTTTCTCTTCTGGGTAGTCTGGGTGGTGGAAGAACATCTGATATTATTGGCAGAAAATGGACGATGGCCTTAGCTGCTGTTGTCTTTCAAACAGGCGCACTTATTATGACTCTAGCTCCTTCCTTTCCAATACTTCTGGTAGGAAGACTTTTAGCCGGTATCGGGATAGGTTTTGGAGTTATGATATCCCCAATATATATCGCCGAGATATCACCAAACGTCACTAGAGGCACTATGACTAGCTTCCCTGAGATTTTTATAAACGTTGGAATTTTGCTTGGCTATGTGTCAAATTATGCGTTCGCTGGCCTTTCACCGCACATAAATTGGAGGATAATGCTTGCTGTGGGAATACTGCCCTCAGTCTTCATCGGCTTTGCTCTCTTTGTCATTCCAGAGTCACCAAGGTGGTTGGTGATAAAGAACCGAATAGAAGAAGCAAGAGAAGTGCTGTTAAGGACAAATGAAGATGAGAAAGAAGTGGAGGAGAGACTCGCAGAAATACAGCAGGCTGCTGAATTTGCTAATTCTGATCACGAGAAACCTGTGTGGCGTGAACTACTATCTCCTCCTCCTCCCCTTCGTCGGATGCTCATTACCGGGATTGGTATTCAATGTTTTCAACAAATATCAGGAATAGATGCAACCGTGTACTACAGTCCTGAAATCTTCAAAGCAGCTGGTATTGAGGATAATGCAAAACTTCTAGCAGCTACTGTTGCTGTAGGTATAACAAAGACCATCTTTATATTGGTAGCCATCATTCTTATTGACAAACTTGGAAGGAAGCCCTTGCTCTACACAAGCACAATTGGCATGACAGTGTGCTTGTTCATCTTAGGGGTCAGTCTTTCTTTCATCGGAAAAGGATCACTTGTGATTGTGATGGCAATTCTCTTTGTCTGTGGGAATGTGGCTTTCTTTTCTATTGGATTAGGACCTGTTTGCTGGGTCGTGTCATCTGAGATCTTCCCTCTAAGAGTACGTGCTCAAGCATCAGCGCTTGGTGCTGTGGGTAATAGAATCTGCAGTGGCATTGTAGCTATGTCTTTTCTGTCTATTGCCAACGCAATTGGTTTTGGCGGAATATTCTTTCTGTTTGCTGTTATTTCTGCTATTGCTGTTGCCTTTGTCCACATGTTGGTCCCAGAGACAAAAGGAAAGTCACTGGAGCAGATAGAGTTGCTGTTTCAGAAGGAATATGAGGGGCAACGGAATGAAATGGAGCTAGGAGATGTTGAACAGCTTGTGCGGAACAAAACTGGTTCAACAAATTAATACTTTTTTCCCCCCAGCTGCAACTTTACGCACGGCATGGCCCTTTGATGGGCTTGAAAGAGGATGTGATATCATCAGATGTTATATCCAAGCATCTTCCATTCGCAATTCCGGCAAGAACTTTGCTGGATAGATGATCATCTGCAGACTGAGAATATTGAGTTTACAAGGGACAAAAAGAAACCTGAAAAGTGATCAACAAACTGCTATCTTTAGGCATACACAAACTTTTCCCAGTCGCACAATCATTTTTATTTCTTTGATCTACAAATATATCTATAATCGCTGTATATGTATTTGGCTTTAGGCGGATCTGTTGAGATGTTCTGTGACATATAATAGCAAAATAATTTGTACGTACTTCATTAAGGGATGAAATGAAAATTGATATTCTTTATATTATTCCTGATATATCGGTTTCTGCCACACTTTTTTGCTTCGTACCTGCATTGTGATCATTTGACGGAAAAAAGCTTATCTCTGTCTAAATTTAGACCTTGCTTTACACCAACCATAATCTGGATCTGCTATATCAGTTTCTAATATACTTTCCGTTTTGTATCACTTTGAGTGACTATTTTGTGACATCAAAGTATATTTCTTTAAATTTACAGTTTGACCTACACATTGCATATTTATAATCATAACCTGAATCTGGCATGCCTGCTTACTCCTGGAGTCATGTTGTGTTATTTCATTAACACTGTTAACTGAAAGTAAGCAACATCTCTGACCAGAGATCCGTATTCAACATGAGTCATCAATATTTCAAGTTGTGTTATTACCCATGTTTTGTGGGTTTCCTCAAACTAACTTCCCGAATTTATGATGCAGATGGAAGCACAATGCGTAACTTATTTACTTTTTTAATCTGAAATCTAGTCCTGCTTCAGATAACTCAGCTGGTAATAAACATTCTCATAGTCCTCTAAATTAAATCCATCTTCCAGGTGCATTGACCTGAGACTCATTATAAAAGCTGTTAGCGGGAAACGAGAAAGAAGGACAAGTCAATGGCTTCAATTGCAAAATCATTCAAGGCAGGGTTGTACTTTGTTCCTAATATTGTGTCATATAAATGGTGTTTTTTCCGCTGTATTTTAATGTTTCAGTTGTTATGGATTATCATTTTGATTCTTATGTCAGTCCAAAAACACTTCGCAGTCCTTTTCCAGTGTGTTGATACAGATTAATGTTTGCTTTGGCCGTCATCCTAGCGATGGACAGAAGCAACGTGGTGTGATTCAAATGGAATACCAGTCGTGCTTGCCATGTGCAAGCTTTTCACTTGCAAAGGAAAGGGCAATCTCAACAATCATATACCTTCACATCACAGGAGGTTGGTCATTGGCGGCTCAGAGTTGTTGATAATTATAGATCTACTACTTTTTTTATAAATATTATATATCTGCTAATTACTATAATAGAGAACCGGTTAAATAATCTAAACTACTTAAAATGAAGATAAATAAATAAAAAATATACAATTTTATTTTCTTTTGGGCTATTACTATTTTCATTATTTGAAATAGAGCAGCACAGTCCATAGAAATGGCAGGTGACTGTTTGCTTTTAAGTTTGCACTATGAAATATTTCAGGAGAATTTGACAGGTCCACCAACTGTTCATCAACATGTCAACGTTCCTTCATCTTAAAGGCAGGCATTTCTGTTGTTTCGTTTCTATGGGAAGGAACTTGAACTAAATTTCTCTGTTCATGGGCCACAGAGGTTTGATGAGCTATGAGCAGCAACTACATTTTGCTTCCAGAAAGATGAAATATGGTGATTAGTAACTTTCACAAGTTCACAAAATGAATCTGTGAGTTGGTGGTGCAGAGGCCAGGGTTCCTTTGAGACGACAGATATGCGAAGACTGAATACGAGGTTGATTAATGAGAATTATACCTGAAATTTATAAAACATAATTGAGGGGTCTTCGAAGTATTTATTTTTGAGTCTTGGAGGTATAATATTGTTAAGGACCTGTAAGATTTCGTGTGGCTAATTATATTTCCTGATACTATTCTTAGAGCATAAACAGGCACAGAGAATGTTGGGGGTATGAGCAACGAACCAGTCCTCGTGGCGGTATCTCACAATGCGTATATATAACCAAGTTTGAATATTCAATTCTCTCCCACTCTCATCGTCGTTCGTTCAAAGGCTGAGACTCTCGATCCGATCTCAACGTTATCAGTTTCCGAGAAAATCCTCACTTTCTCTCCCGACACATCTATAGGTCACTCAGAAAAGAGAGATTTTGAATTTCAGAAATGGCGTCCTTCGACTCATTTGGTAACGACGGAGACGATCACCCACATCAATCGCCGCCGGTGCAACCCTTCGACGATGATGGCTATTCGGGCCTCGACCCGGGCCTCTCTTCTCAGCGTTACGAATCCACATATGCTGCTTCTGACGTCTTCAGCGAACCCCCACCTGCGAGCGAGTATGGCCCTTCCTCCGACCTCCACGGCCACCTCAGCATGGATGATGTCAACTATGGTGAGAACGTACATTCTGCAGATGCAGGCGGATTCGGGATTTCGACGCCCAACCAGGATTATGCGTCGCCGTTTGAACCGTCCGGGCTTGAGACGAATGGTCGTGGAAATGCATACGAAAATGGCAGCGATAAAATCTTCACTTCCGATGGTCCTTTACTTCCAGACCCGAGCCAAATGCAGGACGAAGGTTTTGCAAGACGCGAATGGCGACGGTGGGATTTCATGGATCTTATCATTGATCTTGTTTACTTTCTTTTTCCTTCTTCGATTTCTTGTCATGCTGGATCATGATCAGATTTTCAATGCTCACCGAATATTTCACTGCCCTATGAACCTTTAGTCATATGTTTTTGTGTCTTTTCCACAACGAAAGCCATAAATGAAAATTGTTTTATCTCGTACTCTTGTCATTCATTTTACATTTGTTAATGAATGTTTTGTTTTGTTTTTAGCGAGATCTCTTGTTACGGTTTTCCTTCCCCATCAACAGGCTTCCAATCTTACGGGTTGATAAACAGAACCTAACCGATTTATGTGGTTTTGTTGGGATGGGATAAATGGAGGTGAAAGAGCTGACACAAATGTTGGTCTGTCTGTAGATTGTAAAATCAAGAACCCTGTACTCAGGATGGTGTCTTTGACTTTAGAGACAAGACAGTTTTCATTTAGAAAATCATTTGACAATTTAGAAATTTTTGTTTGTAGCATAAACATTTTGAAGATTTAGTGATATTTTTTGCAGCGTAGTTCTTGCTCCCAATGTGTGGTCCCTTGTACTATAGGAAACTAGATGTCCAAGTGCTTATAATTAAACTTGATCTTTGTGGTAATGAAGATGGTATAATTTTCATACAAACCCTTTTTCTCTTGACATTGTATCTTATTCAAGGGATTTGCTTTTCTGACTGTACAATCTTCCTGGCTTTGGTTCCAGACAAAATGCAATACATCTTGAGGAAAAGGAGAAAAGAGAAAAAGAAATGCGGAATCAGATTATTAAAGAAGCTGAGGAATATAAGCAATCTTTCTATGAGAAGAGGAGACTCAATTGTGAGACAAACAAAGCCAACAACAGGGAAAGAGAGAAGGTAGAATTAGTAAAGTTGATTCCCGATTCCCTCTTCTGCACTGCTTGTCTTTATTCTTTCCATTTCTTCTTCTCTAAAGCATTAATTCATTGTGCATTCCCTTGCTGTTGTGCAAAATAATAACAATGAGTATCTGTGCAGTTATACTTGGCTAACCAAGAGAAATTTCACAAAGAAGCTCACAAACATTACTGGAAAGCAATAGCAGAAATCATTCCTCGTGAGGTCCCCAATATCGAGAAGAGAAGAGGTAAAAAAGAATCTGAGAGCAATAAGCCTTCCGTTGTCGTGATTCAGGGTCCAAAGCCTGGGAAACCTACTGATCTTTCAAGAATGCGCCAAATGATTTCCAAGCTTAAACAGAACCCTCCTCCTCACATGATGCCACCCAAAGAAGGCAAGGATGGTAAAGATGCAAAAGATGCCAAAGAAGGTAAGGATGATAAAGCAGTCGAAGATGGGAATGATAAAAAAGAAGCAAAGCAAGGTAAAAGCTCTACGCCAACTGCATCTGGGGCTGCTGTAGAAACTAAACCTGCTTCTCCCGCCAAAGGTGGGGCTGCTAATGGTGCCACTAATGTGCTTAAACCAGATGTTGCTGCTGTAGTTGAGGGTGAGCAAACCATCGTGGGTTCTGAACCAGAAGCTGCTCAGTGACGAAGCAACTATATTTTTGTTAGTAATTCCTGTTTTTAACAAGCACATATATATATACTTTCTAATTTTCTAAATTCCGTGCTGATGTTAATGGAGAATAAGCAGATAGCCATTTGCATATTCTTCAGGCTTTGCAGCATGGCCTGCAAAGCTTAATTCCAATCTGTGGTCGGAGATTCATAGGCTTTAGACGCAATTTTGTTTTCGCTGTCTTTTTTCTTTGACATTTATAATCAAAGCGATCTTTCTCTTCACTTTCCCTTCTCTGCGTACAGCTTTTTCTTGTTTTTTTTCCCTTCTTGAATAAATTCTTTTCCCCTTTTAATTTGACGTGGTCTTGGTGCGTCTTACTTTTTTACATCACGACCCATGAAAAATATATTATAATTTATAACCAATTGGCAATTACTAGAAACTTATTTAAGATTTTCCGATTCAAACTGTGGGTTTAGATAATTCGAAGGTTATTTATGACTATTTTCTGCTTGCAGATTTAGGTCACTTGCTTGTAAGATTACAAGATGCCCAATGATGCGATCCTACATCAAGATTTTATAACAAACTAGAGAAACTATATTTAATTAGATTAAAGGTGGTAGAGGTGGTGCTCATCGCTGGTCCAAAAAAAAGAATATATTTACTCATCAGAAATTTTTTTTCTTGAGAAAATTGTAAAATAGATCATAAAAATTACAAAGTTGTAAATTAAGACCTGTTATAACAGTTTTATAAGTTTTGATGGACAATACATTTTAAAAAAATACCTGATTTGCAATGTTACAATTTTTTTAAAATTTTTTGTGATTTTCCCTTCTTTCTTCTCTCTTTTATGATTATTTTGGCATTGTTTTAGTTGGAATATTTTTTGAGTAGAAGCCTCTGAAAAGAAGTAGAAAATTTAAGCAGAAGGTGTCAAAGTGGTTCAACTGATGGAGTTTCTTTTCCTGACGCTCCACCTTTACTGCGAAACACCGCCTTATTAATCGCGAAGAGAAGGATTTAAGGATGTAAACTATTCTCAAGCAACAAAAATGGATTCCAAGAAGGATAAGAAGCGAAAAACAAAAAAAGAATTTTGTTCCGAAGGTCTACCTCTTTTCAAAATTCCCCCCCGCAGGACCTGAATATGTGTTTCATAAAATTATAGAGAAGTTTAGTGAATCTGAGTTCAGATTCATTAATCCTAAGAAAACATACGAGTAAGCTTGCGTTTTTGGTGACTGATTCGAGAGTCACACTTTGCTTTCCGCCTTAGGAAATCAGACTCCTGAATTTTCTATTGGTGAAACTGCTTTCCTTCAAACGTCTGTCCAAATTGCCAGTTTGCTGGGGCAACATTGTAAGATGTGAGTGTTCTTCCACCAATGATGGTCACCTCAAAGGACAGAGGTTGTCGTTGAAGATCGACACTGCAATGCCAGTTTTGTCCCCAGTTCCTGGCCATGGGTATCCACCCTGTTCTTGATCCCTTCACCTTCACAGCAACTACCTCACCATCCAACCCTACGTTGGTAATTAGGACTTGGTAGAAGTGGGAATTACCTGTCATTGTAAATTTCAGGCCACCACTTCTTTGACACTTCACTCTGCACACAGCATTTACAGAACAAGTCATCCCATAAGCCCAGCAGAATTCTCAAACAATAAGAAAGTTATTGTCACAAATCTTCATTACTGAATCACCTTTCTTTGGGTTTACCTTCTATACTGAATCGGCACTATATCAGCTTTTCTCTTGGCAATCTCAGCAAATGCTGCTTCTGACATCTCAAAATGCTCCTTCGGAAAATTGCACCAGCCACCATAATCTGCTGAAAGTCCATAGTTTGGAGGGCAGAAGTCTGTAGCAGTAAGAATCACAGACGGGCTTCCTATCAAGCACCACAAGATGTGGTTTACACATCGGATTTCATAGCAAGCCCCACAGCTACTCCCTCTGTTGAACAGGATAGTGCTCAACCCCGCACTATATCTCCCATAACTAGCCTTGTGAAGGTCCCCATAACCACAGGCTCCTTCTGCAACACAAGTACCAGTACATTTTCAAAACTGGGTTTTGTTTTTACTGATGGCAAGACTAGAAAGAACAAGAAAACTAGAAGAACCTGTAATGAGCGACCCATCTTTGTCTTTGGAGTATGTTGCCGTTGCAGACTCCCATTCTCCTTCCTTGTTAGCTGAAATCTTCCATGAATGTAGTAAAAACAAGTAGAATAGTGTGGACTGAAGAGTACCCATCTGAGACACTAAGCTATGAATCTGATTATTACTTTAAACTGGAAATACTCGAACTGTCATTGGGTTCTGCTTTTGTCTTGTGTGGGGCCGAAAGTGGCCCAAATAGTGAATAAAAGCCGTGTTTTTTTCTGGCTGCAAATTATGTTGATCCTCCTGCTAAAAGATAAAGATAGAAGCTTTGACATTTTTCATCTACGAAGTGATTAGTTTCAAACTGTGGGGACATTCAGCTAGGCCGAGATATAAGGTCATTTGGTGCATATTCCGAGGCCCGAGGCACTCGCAAGACGCGAGCTCCTTCATTTTGTTTCGTACTTTTTCTTCATTTTCTCTTCTTTTTAGGCGGGAAATGGATACTCCAAAAGGAGGTTTAGGGGGGCGCAATTGTTTGGATGTGTTCGAGAGAGAAGGGTTTAGGGCTGGCAGACACAGAAAGCGGAAAGCTGAACTTTATTAATCATTCTGTTTCATACGACATGCAGGATTTTAATGACTTGATTTTCTTTTTGTTAGTGTGCTTTTTGGATTTCTTGACACTTAAGATTAGTAGCCGGCATTTTAATTAAGCTTCAAGGAACATAAAATTAATTACAGGTGGCTAAAAAACAAAAAAAAAACAAACAGTTATTCACTGTAAACTGTAAAGCAAAGAAAGAAATAGCAGAAATCAAAGCCCACAAAACGGACGAACCGGCCACCCTCCCCTGATGCATGGTTGGAGACTGGAGAGTCTTGGTGGAAGTAGAACCAAGACCATTTTGTTTCCCAAAATAATTAATAATGACTGGGTCACTCAAAAACTGTAACATTATAATAATACAAAATATTACTAGCATACATTGGTAATAAAAAATCCTAATTATAAGACCCAATTAACTAATTTAGAGATATTAAGAAATTTAGTTAAGTTAGTTATTTATAATGATTATATGTTTTTTCCCCTAAAATATCCTTGCTAATTAAGTTTGTTATCTAGAACTATTATTATTAGAAGAATTATCTTGGAAAAAAATAAATAATTATGAGAGATAAAATAGATTGAGGTCGTATATTTAGGACCAAAATAAAAATCAAACAAGATCTTATATTAAGGACCGGAAGTAGTAATCAAAATAAAAATTTAGATATATGTAAATAACAACTTAATTAAATGTAAATAACCACTTGGGTTGGGCTAAATAACACAACTTAATTTTTTAAAATAAAAATTTAATTTAATGTAAATAACGACTTAATTTAATATAAAAGACCAACTTGCCTTGTGGTAAGTAAATAAAAATTTAGGTATAAGTAAATAAAAACCTGAAAATAAAAACAAACAATTCCGTGGACGACTTTTTGTATCAGAATGAACCCTTTTTTTTTATCACCCAAAAAAAAAAAAGAATTAACCATTTTAAGTTAATTGGCAACTAATTATAATATGGTAATTGTCAATTAAATGACTCTACTAGTATCCAACAAGACTTTAATGTAACAAATCTGTCAAAGCAACCAAAAATGGCTTGGGCTCATTTGGGCAAGATATCCCAAAGATCCTGAAGCTTTTCAAATCTAGTTGGGCTTCAACGCCGAAAGCACATGTTTAGCTGTTTTCATAATCCTAATTTGTCACCAATGATAAGGATTTAGTACTTAGGGGCAGTTGTTTCAAATTTACAATTTTTCACTTACAAAAAACTCATAAAGGCGACGCACGCAGGGCAAAGAAAATTCAAAGGGAGAAAATGGCGTAGTTAGATAAGTAGTATAGGAGTTTGGATACAAATGATGCAAGTTAGTGGGTGTTTGAATTAACTTTTTAAAAGTAATTTCACGACATATGTACTGAAATAAGTGAGTGAAAAATTTTTTGTCTCGATTTGTATGACAAGACTTTTTTTAAAATACTTTTTGGATAAACCAAACTCCCCTATCTTATTTCTTCTTATTCTTTCGTCTAAGATTCCCTTCATTTCTACTTTAAAAAAAGAGAGTCCAATAATCCAATTAAAGACATTATTCAATAAAATTCACTTATTTGTCTCCATCCTTGAAGTAACTTTTATAAAATATTTAAATAAAAATATTTTTAACTTTTTTTTACTAAAATGCTATATTAACTTACATATAAATTACTTTTTTAAAAAAGTGATATTTCTTTGTCAGTAAATCTATCATAATAATAATAATAATTAAAAGCATATTTAAATTAATGGCAAGCATTTTAACAAAAAATTAAAATAATATCAAACTGATAACTTTTAATTTCAAATTATGAAAAACATTCTGGGTTTTGGATTCTTTGTTGCGCCCGAATTTATAAAATGCCAGCTTAGGTGTATCAGGGAGGAATGAATCATCATAACCACAATAAAAGTGTAACAGTAACATAAATCTTTTAATTTTATAACTGCAGTTGACTCTTTATGGTTCAAAACTGCTTTAAATCTGAACAAGAAATTTATATAATGTTAATAATACTAAAAAAATATTTGGATAAATTGCTCCAAATTCAAACATATGATTTCATCATAGTCATTGGGCTAAACTGTTACTTAAGCAAGAGAGTAAATTCTATGAGAAGTAACATGATAGTCATTATGGGTTCTAACCCCTCTTCAACATGGTAGTTAGAAAATCAGTTACTCGCACCAGTGTAGATCCGTCCCACTATATACAACGAAAAGCAAAGTCTTAACATCCCAGAAAGAACTAGAGAAACTATTATTGGAAGTTTTACAAATCCCAATCTGAAAAATTGTCTCCTGCCAATCAAAATCTCTTGCGAGCAGCACCCTTTGCGAAGATGGGATTCTCCATGAAGGTACTTTTGTTATGAACACAAGTTTAAAGGGAAAGTTCAATCCCAAAAGTCTAGTTTATTAGACTGATAAATCATACTGCACTTGTGAGGCTTCTCCTACTCTTAACAAGAATCATCCACAGTATGATTCTAAACGAGGACCCTGTTTTTCCTTGTAATATGATAACTGAGCATCTTGAGAAGCATGACACGTGTGGTCGTCACTGGTTATCAGAGTCACAGCATTCCTGTGTCCACCAGTCACCATCCTCACCAGCCTTCTTGATGACGCTTCCAAGTTTCAACTGCTCTGAACCCCACAAGCATCATATGATTACCCCATACTTCATTAAATTGCATATATGATTAGAGTCTACCGCTTGAAACACTCAATTAACACTTCCTCTCTGTTGGCTTAGTTTCGTTGTTGAGAAGCCACCAGCTTACATAATTGCAGGATTAACTGTATATGATGGTTAGCTCAGCTGATTTGAAGCTCCTTTCTCAATACTCTTTGGTTAAAAAGAAGAGATTCCAGTTTAAGGAAAGCAATTAAAGCAAAGAATGATCAGTAAGCAAGGACCCACTATGCAGAGCTTGTCCCTTCATTAACACAGATAAAGTCCATGATACATATTAAAAGCTTCAAACTTCATTAATTATATAGGACCAGTAGTACAATTGCACGCACATTCACTACCATACGGCTCTCTCTCCTCTTTGGAGAGGGCTACTTCTACTACGAAAAAGGGTAGGTACACAAGCAGCAGAAGAGTAAAAGCGAAAAAAGAAAAAGGCAAATTAATACACCATTGGAAGCTACTCACTTATATGGACTTCCGCGGCAACTTTTCTGACAAAAACAGACAGAAGAAAAGAAACACTTGTCTTTACTTATTACGAGTATTTCCTTTTAGGAATTAAGATGTTTATTGAGTGCTAATGGTGGAAGAAGTTGAGACGAGATGTGTAAGTGGCTCTTGGAGTCCAGTTGCCAGGGATAACATCTCTGGCAGAAAGTGCTTTCCCAGTGGATGTGCTTACTTTCACAGAGAAGGGTCCCCTCAATGGTCCTCCAATAATGTTCCAATTTGCGCCCCAGAGATGATTCATCTGAAGCCACTCACTTGACCCTGCCTGTCCATACCAATATCGCAAATCAGTCTCATTATTTAATTTGTAACCAGCAAAACTGGGTTTTAGTCACGAGTGTATAAGACCATTATCCAGGACCTACCAAACAGAAATTATATGCGCACTGGCCCCATGATCACATGCTTTGACTTCATTAGATATGCAGGGAAAAACGGGGTGTGTTATTTCAAAAAGAGAATTTTTTACTTACTGCTTATAATGAGAAGACAAATAGACATGCTTTTTAGCAATATTAATTTACCCGTAATATATTTACTATCTTCTGTATTTGCCGAACTTTAATTTTTAAAATCTTTGAAAATATGGAATGAAAGTGGTGGGCAGTGGCATGTGATGAAAGGATACAAGTCCGCGATAGTTGGAATTGTTTAATGGCAACATGCATTATAAGATAACTAGGCATGCCCCTGTAGCCTTTTTAGTGGATAGAATAATATACGAGTGACCGTAATGCTTTAGTGCACGTTCAGGCAAGTTTCTTTGAGTCAAATATGCAAACACTTTCTAACAGTTTTGTGAAGATGGAATATTCTATCTGTTTCTGCGCTATAGTTTAAGAGATCAAATGTACATTCTGGCTAACATAATACTCCCCCCACAAAAAGAATGTTATCACTTTCTTATTTGTCATGTTAGAAATTTTCTAAGCCCAAGTTTAGGCTGTAACGGCATCTGATTCTCTCTGAGACACCTGAAGTTCTTTTCTTTATTCTGAATGATTTTGGATTTTAAAAGGAAATGCGAACTAATTACCGAAACTTAATTGTAAAAGTGACGAAGATTATGAAGATGCTCACTTCTTGAATATGCATAGAGCCAATGTCTCCGTCTCCATCCTCAAACTCTACCAACAGTGATAGCCAAAAAGGTGTGGATCCTTCATTAACATGGAAAGCAATGTTTCTACCAGGATATTTACATGGTGTCCTGAAATTAAAAAAGAAAAAGAAAAAGAATCCATTAATATCTACAGTACCAAAAAAAAGTTGAGTTAAACTTTATTATTCCCTATAAAAGAAGGCAGGCTTCACATAAAAAGCCCAGAAAATGTACCCAATACTACAGGATTTTCCAGTTACTATGAGAAAACTTACGTAATAAATGTGTTGATAGGATTTTCCAGTGATGAATTACTGATTGGCCAAACTAGTTAGGTTATTTTCATTAGTACGTGCATATAAAAATAACGAACTCGATCAAGTGATACAGAGAGCATTAAAATAAGAGTTGAGAACTGAAACAGCAGACTTTAGATTACCGAATATGACGTAAAATACAAAGAACAAACACCAAACTTTTGGCCAACAGATAAAAGAAACAGGCAATGATACATACCTTCGGTAAACGACTGGGATTTGACCACGGTCTCTAAGCTGGGAGTTCTCGCCGGCAAGAGCCATGCGGCCAAATGCTGCGCCACTGAGGTCGAAGTGGGTCCGGTCGGAGGGGCAGCCTGGGCACTCGTCGGTGATTATCACCGTCACGGCTCGCTTCGAGCATATGCTCTTGTCCAAGCATTTCACCTTGTAGCAGGCTCCGCACCCCTCTCCGTTCATGTACAGCACGGGACCCACTGCCCCAACTCGTGCCTTCATCGGCTTCACGTCGACCAACGACCCGTATCCACATGCCCCACCTTCACATCCACACATTCAAGTGCAACCCGCTGAGTCAACTCACAGCCTTACTTAAAAATAATCTTCAACTTATATATATATATATATATATATATAGTTCGGAATGAAGGTACTTACCGTTACTTCCGTCTCCTTCGGGGTCACCGTACCAGGTGGCCGTCCCGGGGTGCCAATGCCGGTCTAAAACCGGGTGCTGAAGCTGCCCCTGAGCGTTTACCAGCAAAACATGAATCAACAATGAGATGAAGATCACGTCGGAGCTACGGTGGCGCTGCATTGTGCAATGGGGCGGAATGGGGAGGCGCGCCACCACAGTTTCAGAGCTCTGGTCAGCGCAGAACCCAATAAAGAAGAAGAAGAAGGACAGCTGGGGGGATTGCCGACAGTTTGATGGCGGCAGAGAGGCTTGCTGTTTTAGACCGTTAAGGGGTCTTCGGGGGATCTTATAATATGACGCTGGGTCAGGCGGAAACTTTTTATCACTTCTCAATCCCTTGGTTTGGGAATTATTTGCAGAAAATGCCCCTGAGTTGGGTCCCATCGGTAGTTAAGGCGTTAATTTCGCATGTGCGCGAGTGTGTGTTACTGTTCTGTACGTCGGAGGTAGAAGGGTGTGTTTGTCATTTCAGGCTAAGGAGAATCTGTCCTGCCGTTATTCTCGTTTTTTAATGAAACGGTCGAATCCGCGGAATGAAATAGAAACGCTCTAGAGAACGACGTCGATTCACACTCCTCGGCAAGAAAACGTAGTTCATTATGTCGACTTATTTCCTTCCATATTTTTTTTCATCAACTTTCCACCATCAATATTAATTATTAAATATATAATAAGCCGTCCCAATCCTATTCATAGATATTAAATCAAATAATTGATTATTCAAACGTCATTTAATGTATGAAATAATGTTTATGTTTTTTTTATATAAAAATAATATCTAACCTCTAATTTTGTATATTAATTTCTTGGTTCCAATCATTAATGATTAATTTATAAATTTTTCTTCTTTTGATTGTCTTGCTTTGCATTTGTTCAAAAGGGCAAATTTGCCAAAACCACGAAAGCTTTCCTACATTTCGACAAATACATGTGCTTTTTTCATTAATCAATTTTGGTTCAATAATTGACAATATGACAAAAACACATGGGGGCATTTTTTATTTTTCTGACATATAAATAAGGGGCACCAAAGAAAGCATCTAGTGAGTTGATTTGCACGTCTATAATTGAGAAAATTACGGACGAGTTTCTGAATTATTGGGTATAGTGTCCTTATCTATCACGCAAGCACTTTCATAGTTTTATTGTATTTATGCATAATGGTGGGCTATCCCCTGTTATAGAAACAAATTCAAATTTGCATTACAGCAGCTTTACATATTATTATTATGTTATATGGAAAAGGTAAGTGCCATTATGCAAACCAGACTAACATAAATAAAGTAAAACGAGCAGAGTCAAATACTCAAATTTTTGTGTTTCTTCTAATGTATGATCCGTTAGTTTCTCATTCAATATTCTTCAGAAGGTGATATGTAGAGAAGGATGTGAGAAGACAGAGATAGATAGGTGAATGATGTAATTCATACTGTACGTTTGGTTATACAGAAAGGGAAAGCATTTGGTTAAAACTTAAAACAATGGAACAAGGTAGTTACATTTCCTCCTTTGGTTAAAACAAAGTGACGGAATTTTCTCTTCCTTTCCTTTCTATTCATCTCTTTCGAATTGAGAAAATTTGGGGAAATAATTAAAATCTCTTCACTTCCCTCACTTTCGCTTCTATCCCAACAACACCTCCCCTCATCTTTCCTACAATAGAATCTCTTTCATCCCCTTGAACCAAACACTATATTTCCTCCTCTTCAAAATATAACCTAAACTTTGTTAGAGAGGTTTGGTTTTTATAAGATAACATTCACTTTTGTCTAAGTATTAAATGAGTTTTTTACAATTTTATCCCCATACATTCTCTTCCCTCTTTGATTCATTTATTGCATCTTTTACTTATTTTCTTCACTAATAAGGGTATATCTGAGAAAAAAAATACATGGTTTATATATTTATTGTTTCAAACTGATTTTAACTAGTTTTTTGATAAACATAAATGGATAAAGTTTAACTTATATTTTGAATCGAAAGGAGTACTAAAGAATTATTGAGATCAGACTTGTGAGCCCTCCAGTGTAATTTTCCCTTGCATTTGTTTATTATTCTGTTATATCATATATGTAATCAATAACACTGTAAAAATTTTGGATCTTGGTCGTTATATTTCAATGCCGGGGATGAACTGTTCAGAAATATGCAGTCTTAGCCTGCCAGAAGAGAGGGGAGGGTACGTTTGTGATAGATCCAAGGCCGACAGGTGTGGAAGCTAGGTTTGACTATCTAGGTAGCCAAGTAATTATTGATTGTTATCATGGAAAGTGTAAAACAAGTACTACTACTTGCTACTACAAATTTCTTAGACACGGTTTTCTGTAACTTTTAAAGAAATGATCTTCGTTTTGATTTTCCCTGCATGCTTCCAGAAAAACGAACGAGACAAATAAGTCGCCGGCAGACGACCTTTCGCTGAACTAGACCCAGCAATTCGTTTTCTAATTCATAATTAATTTCAAATTAGCAGGAACGTAATGTCTTTTATATTGAATATACAATTTTTATACGTTATCATTACATAACATTCCCACCGACTCACACTTTCTATTATTAATTAACTCACCCGCTTGATGATGATATATATTCTCGGGTTCCTTGATTACCGGAGAAGTAGTTGCTATGCAAATCTGGTGGAAGAAGCACACAGCTTTTGAAAACGAAGCATCAAAGTAAGTGAAACTAAGAAACTCAATGGAGGAAAAAAGATTTTGTTTGACGAGAACATGTGCTTTTGAGACAGGCATATGAATTATGAATAGTCTTTCTCGCTTTTGTATGATTTTGCCGCTTAACTGTCTATGGTAGACAAAATGAAAGTTTTCACACACGTATGCACTTCTTGAGCCTTGAGGTGCACATAGTTTAATGTGATCTTAATATTTTATTCTAATACTCTGTGAGTCAGAAGGGCATGCCGAAGCAGTATTACTTTAATGCTGCTAAAAAAGTGGTCTGGATCATATGTTTAATAAAGTATGGTTGAAGTGGTAGTTAAAGCAGCTTTTTCAAGGCATGTGACTGCGAAGTGTGAATCCATTCGGCAGACAGGATTAGATATGTTCCAAAAACGACGAATAAGACATAACCGGGAAGCCATTTCAAGATGGATCTAATTATTAAAATTTCGAAATAGATAAAACTGCGTTAATTGTAAATGCCCATCTAAGATAAGTCATTGGTAGGTGCTCTCATGTGGAATCAAATCGATTATCCAATTTCTTGTAATCCCAAAGTGTTAGTTGATATAACGATATTTATGTTGCTTGGTATTTTTGCTCAAACTTGAGTCTGTCTTGCTTTTGGTAAAGCGAAGTTGAAAAGAAAAGGCCAGCTTGTACAAGCTTCCCTTGTTATCTCCCTTCTCCATCACTATGGAAGCTTTCAATTGACTTTACGGGTTGTCCAGACCACATTCTGTGTTTTCGATTCATTCTCCACTTGAGTTGGCTAGCCTCACAGGTGCCCAGAGGCATGATACCAATCACATTTCTTTTAAAAAGCAAAACGAATGAAATATCTGTAAGGTGATCGACTAGCTCAAGTATTCACGTGGGTGATTCAAGCAGATATCATACTCTTCAATCTTTGGTCATAATGGGAACATGAATTGCCACCAAGTAATTCAAAGAATATTTATTCACGTGTTGATCTGACATCCAGCTATGAGCTATATTGCTTTCAACAGAAGGTGCAGGGAGATATTAAGAGGTTCGGGACTTTATTCACTACAAGACACTGATCAATACAATGCAATAAAGAGCATGTTATATGAGTATGGTGTAAGAGATTCCTTATAAGGTGAGATAGTTTGGTTTTCCCCAATCGATTCAATAGCTGTTCCATTTCCAGCTGATGGTCTGAAAGAGACTTGTTTTGCCTTTCTGTAACAAACTCCAAATGCTGGGCTGATGGGCTCCAACTAAACAAGATTATGACAATTTAAGGAAGAAGGAAACAGTCAAATAAGGGAATCACAGTAGGCACCAAATGGCTTAATGTGCCAACAAAAAACTAGAATTAAACTTGAGTAAACCTACGTATAATATTTATTTTTTAGTGTTGGACAATCATGGAAATATGCTTCATCAACAAGATATATAGGTTACCGCAAATAATATGGAAACCCACAGTAGCAAATGCCTTAGGGTCTGTTTGGTTTGAGGGGAGGGAGGGGAGGGAGGGGAGGGGAGGTTTTATCCTCACCTTGTTTGGTTTGATTAAAAAGGAGGGGAGGGGAGGGTATTTAATGATCCCTTGTTTGGTTCAAGGAGGGGAGGGGAGGGATAGTAATAATCAATTTACCATTTTACCCTTACATATTAGTTTATGTTTTTTATTGATATATTATATAAATTAATTTACATCTTAATTTAAATTATATAATTTAATAAAAATTCAGTCTTATCATGTTAATATGTGTATTAAAAAATTGGTATAGTAATTTTTTATTCTAATTAATATAATAATATATTTAAAATAATCAAATTAACAAATTTTATATGCTCTAAGAAAAATGAAATTTTATTTTCTTTAGGCTATCTTTTTTTCCAGCTTTAAAATATATTTAATAAATAATATATTTATAAAAAACAATTAATTTTATATATTATAATTTTTTATTTAAATAATTTTTTATTTTTAAATAATTTTTATAATATATTTTTAATTATAATAATGTATTTATTTTTTATTTTTTACTTAGGATAATATATTTTTTATTTGAAATAAATATTATAATAATATATTTTATGGGTAGGAGTGGAATATTAAAAAAACCATAAGGGCATAATGGTCCAAAATTTTGGCTCCCCTCCAAAAACCCCCAATTTGGAGGGGAGCCAAAATGGGGGAGGGGAGGGGACATTTTAGCTCCCCTCCCCTCCAAAATTTTTAACCAAATGAGGGGAGGGGCTCATTTTCCCTCCCCTCCCCTCCCCTCCACTCCAACCAAACACACCCTTAGACGCATATTGGCCCCAGGGTGTTCTACTTTCTCAAGTTATTCGTACAGTATTTGAACTCAATGCACACCATAACAACAACAACAACAATCATCCTCGTCTTCCTATATTAGTTAGGACATAAGCAGCAGAAGTTTACAATTTTTATATTGGTTATATTGTTACATCTTACAAATAAGTTTCTAGGCACTTAAGAGATTGAGTTTTTCACGTATTAAGTAGCATCTTCAAGATGCGGTCAGATATGAAATCATTTTC